TCAAACTCACTGAAAGCCTGCCTCTGCCTCCCGAGTGCTGGGATTAAAGATGTGTGCCACCCCCACCCAGGAGGGCCTAATCATTCATTAACCTCATAAATTGTTTCAAATATGAGAACCGAGGAAAGGTGTAATATGAATCTCTCGATTTGACCACACTACTAAGGAAGAGAATTAATCGTCTGCATGCCAGTGTCCCCCTTCAAGTCCCACCCTGTGAACACTGCTATAAGCCAGCTTCTGTGACTGTCTCAGGCCACTGTCATTTCCACTGTTCAAGTCATTCACAGAAGCACTGGGGCTCGATTTAATTTGCCTGGCATTCCTTTGTGGAGATGTTATCCTGGTGTGTTCCCTGGGTGGGGTCAGCCAGGGTGGATGTGAGGTTTGACATCTTGCTTGTGTCAAGGAGCCCTTTACAGCCTCTGAACAATCTACAAAACAAGAAGAAAGTCCTCCTTGCTCCAGAGAGGGAAAAGGGATTCTGCCTGTGGGTCACCTACCTCCACCCTTTGTATAACGATAGCGGCCACCCTTTTTTTGTGGGTGCTAGCTGCAAGGGGGCCATTTCTGCTCAGACCAATGGGTATGCATATTTAACAACAGTACCTCTCATTCTTCTTGGACAGTAATGCCAAGTCCTTGATGTCCTTGGAAAGAATCAGTGATACATAGTCTTCCTTTTCGGGTGCATTTATTATTTTCAGTTATGTGTATGTGTGTCTGTGTGGGTGTGCGCGGTTGTGCCAGTGCCTGTGGCTAGAGGTTGGAGTCCCCTGGAAGTAGGGTTAGGAGGTGGTGTGAGCCACCTCCTGTGGGCGCCGAACTCAGGTCCACTGAGCCGTTTTCCCAGCCCCATTTCTTCCTGCTTTTCTTTTTTGCAGTAGGGTCTCACTATGTTGCCCTGGCGGGCCTGAAACTTGCTATTTAGACCAGGCTGGCTTTGAACTCACAGAGATCCGCCTGTGCTGCTGCTGCTGTTTCTCCTCCTCCTTCAAACTTGGTCTCGTTAGGAGTTTCTTTTCTCCACTGCTTTCTTTTTGTGTGCCCGTTCTAGGCATTGAAGCAAGCCTCCCTCTTCATGTTCCTGTATTGTCAATGCAGTCACTGCAGTAGAGTGTGGTAGAGACTATCAAAGCAATAAAGAAAAAGAAAGTGTTTCCGAGTCTCTTAGAAGAACTACCTGATAAATTGACTGCTGCATGGGCCTGGGTCTGAAATCTGCTAACCCTTAACCACATTGTCTCAGGAGTTGTCTGACTCTGCTCCACTCACTTCTCCTATAAAATGAGGGACCACATAGTCTCTGCCTCGTAGATTTATTGTCAGAATTAACTGGCAAAATGCTTTCTTTCACAAAGCATTTGGAACTATGCCTGAACTGTGTAAACTTCAATAAATGTCTGTTGTATCATTATTATCTGGCTTGGGTGTATTGAATACAGGCTCGATGCCAGGCCAGGCCCTGAGCAATTTGCTAGGCTGTGGGTTGAAAGACGTTGTCCCTGTCTTCTTGGGAATTCACAGTCGTGGAGAAGTCGTTTGTGATTTTATGGTGTGTGTTAGAGCACTGGTTGAGACTGGGAATTAAGGTCGCCCGTGGGCCTGCTGTGAGTGGCGCGCCACTTTCAGGCCGTCAGGGAGAAGACAGAAGGGAGCAGCTCCAGCGGGTTTGAAATGGGTACAGAGGACTTTGAGCCCTACCTGCCGAGCTTTCTAGAGAGCTTCTGCTGGGGGCAGAGGCAGAAGAGAAGCTTGAGATGTGTGCAGTGCCTTTGCCAAAGCCCAGGCATATACGGGGCAGGCAGCACTGTGTCAGGAGGAGCCAGACCTAGGTTGGGGCCAGGGTCAGGTATGGCCTGGGTATTCACTCGGCCCAGGAGTTCAGACTTTGAACTAATGAAGGCTTCGTGCCAGCAATCATGTGTCCATTTACAGAGGCAGTCAGGGCCAAGAAAGCCTGTGACGGTGGTGTGGAGGGGAGCATGGGGCTGAGGACAGTTTTAGGGTTCAGACTTAGGTGGAAGTAGCCCAGCAGAGGGAATGCAGGGTGTAACAAACTGAGAAGACCTAAAGGTGGCCTGAAGGTGAGATTTCTAGCCTGGATAACATGTGACAGCCAGGACACCGTAGAACAAGAGGGTAAAGGGCTGTGCTTGCCCAGGGCAGGGAATCTTCAGCTTCTTCTCCATGCTTCCTGTAGACTGAGTCAGCCATGTTTTATCTGACCTTGTGATTGGGCTGGCGCATGTTTTGCAACTGTGGCTTTTATTGTTCACAGCCTACTGTATACGAAGAGAAAAGACTAATATAATGCATCACCGCGTAGGGAACGCTTCTCTTGGCTGATCAAATCGGGTCTTTCCTTTCCCTTTTCTTGTCTGTGTTTCCTTTTTAAAAACCATAAACAAGTATTTATCACTTTGGAAATGAGAGGAAAACTCGAGTGTTCGGATAAGAAGCCTGCAGGGATCTTCAAGCTTCAGGAGGATGAGAGTGGCAGAGGGTCTCAGGCACTGAGTTCCCACCCATGCCCTGCACCACTCAAGGAACACACTCAACAAAACCCAAAATTCTTCTCCATGAGGCAGTCAGTTTCCAGCCCTGAGACTAAAGCAGACAGGGTGGGGAGGCGGGGGTGGGGAGGGCGCTTCTACCGTAGGCTCCTCACCAGGGCTCAGGTGGCTGGGCAGACTTGATGGGATCAAGTCTTCTGGGAGGGTTATGCAGTTGGAAGCACCCCAGAGAGGCAACTTTCAGGAAGGCTCTAATCACTGGCTGCTAATAAACAATAGTAATACTATGAGAGGCTCCGTCCAAAGGGGCTTCCTCTGGCAGCCCGTATGGCCTCCAAGGCTTACAGTAAATTCCGTGGCTGGTACCTTCGCTAAGTGCTTCCCTCACCTGCTTCGCTACTTCCGTGTCTGTGTGCCCTAGAGCTCCCATCATAGCCTCTGTTTGCAGTATATAAAGAACTTATCGCTTAGCCAGTGTCTGTAGTCACTTTAGCCGGAGTCTGTTCCCTGTGAAATACCTTCTTGCCAAAAGCTCGCGTGCATCTTGGTATTTCTTAGCTGGTTTTATTCCGCTCCCAAAATTCTTTCATGGGATAGACCCTAACTAACAATCGGTTCTTGTCCCTCCTGCCTCACCGACCTGTTGACTTTTGCCAGCTTTGGGGGAGGGGGGAGGGGTGCCGTTTGCCAGGTTTGGGGGAGGGGTGCTCTGTGTGAAGCACCTTCCTCCACACTCTGGGCCCTATGGGAGCTGCTGTGCAGCATAGGCATCCGGGCTTTGCTCCTTGCTGCCTTGGTGCAGCACAACTGCATAGAGTCTGGGCATGCAGCAGAGCCCCGCAGCTGTGCAAAGTACATCCAAGTGCCTCCCACACGCTAAGTGTGTGCGTAGCCCTTGCCATCGCTCCAGGCATTGGAGGCATTGGGTAAGTGGGTCCTGGCTCATATTAGAAAGCGAAGGCGCGGTAGGAGCACCGGTTGCTGCTATACCACTGTCCAGTGTGGAGCTTAGACTTAACACAGGCCCTGTCAGTGTCCCTGTGCTGTGCCACCAACTGCTCTTTTCTGCTTGGTCTGTGCCCCCAGCCATCCTGCTGGACCCTTTCCTGGGTGTCCTACAGGTGCCTGAGACATGGCTGACACCAGCTGTCCTGGTCAGCTCCTCCCCACCGGGCCTCTCTGGCACTCTCTGCAAGTCTATCCCTCTCTCTTTTCCTTCTGTCGTCACCCCAGCCACAGCTGAAGCTAGTTCTATTCCAGATGCTTTGTCGTGGCTGGTATCTGAGGTTCCCTTACACTTCTGCTTTGTCCTCAATGAACCATCAATAGTCACTCTGTCCGTCCATTTTTCTTATCTGGCTCACAGAGCACAGGGGCCTAAGCTTCTGCCTGTAACACTGATGACTCTGGGCCACCTAGAAAGAAATCCCCTCCCAGCCTGTGGCCTGGCATGGGCTCTGCAGTTCCCCCTTTCCATGTCTCAATCTGGAGCATTTCCTTCCATCTCTACTGGTCTGTAGACATTAGTGTCTTAAAGCCTCTGTGCTGTGCTCATTAGTTATTGGCTGCTGCTTCCTCTGAGCCGTTTCTGTCTCCCTCCCTCTGTCTCTGGGTTTTTGGAGACAGGGTTTCTCTGAGTAGTCCTAGCTATCCGGGAACTCACTCTATAGACCAGGATGGCCTTGAACTCAGAGATCCAGCTGCCTCTGCTTCCCAAGTGCTGGGATTAAAGGTGTGCACCAGCACCACCCGGCTTCCTCTTAACACAGTAACTTGTACAGCACACAAACCCCTGCACCTGTTGGGGAGGGGGACCTATTGGAGGAAACCAATGTGAGCGAGTCTTGGAGACCGAGTCTGTAGTGATGAGTGGTGAGCCCAGGGCTTAGCTCTAGCTAGGCACTTGGTGATATTGGCTATTGAGACCCTGTTCAAGTTGGTGTTCTGTCCGTCCGTCTGTCCAGATGGGTGCAGAGTGCAAACAGACTGTAGAACCAGCATTCCAAGTATTTGTGTATTACCAGCGTGGAATATGATGTCAGATACCCAAGTGCCATAGCTCCTGTTACTTAGTACAGAGTGTCCATCCTTCAGAATAGTCACACCGGTAAAAAAGAATCAAAGCAAAACAGAAACCTGGGAATGCCGAGCAGCATGCTTTGGCATGGGAAAGGCGAGCTGTGGGATATGGCGCTTAGCAGTGGACTCTCCCAGACAAGCAGTGCTCGTCCCAGAAATCGGAATAGTCAGTGAGCCAAACTGCTACTGTGTTATTCCCAGGAGGGAAAGAATAGATCAACAAACACAGTGTTGGCAAGTGAGAGAAAGAGTGGCCATGGGGTCAGTGTGGCCTAGAAGCAGTTCTTTGGGGAAAGTCTTTGTGTTGAGGTGACTTGGACCACAGAGGCCATGCGTGTGGACTTTGGCGCGATTGCCTCCACTGCAGAGTGACAGCTGACCCTGATGCCTTCCCTCTTCTCTTAGGGGGCAGTGCCCAAAGGAAATGCCACTAAAGAGTTCATCGAGAGCCTTCAGCTGAAGCCTGGGCAGGTGGTGTACAAGTGTCCCAAGTGCTGCAGCATCAAGCCCGACCGAGCCCACCACTGCAGGTACCGTGGGCTTGTGAGTGTCCCGTGCGGGCAAGGAGCGATGTGGCCGCTAGGGTGGAAAAGGCGTCCGACTGTGTGAGGGACGCCCGAGGCTGCCTCTGTTTCAGTGCCTGGAAGGTCGAGGGACTCCCATTTCCTGATAATCTCACAGCTTTGGCAAACATGAGCATACAGTACTTGCGGCAAAGGCATCACTCGGGCTTGCCTTGAAGCAACACTTGAGAGCTTGTGACAAGAACAGTTCTCAGGCAGAAGTCGCTTCCCTCTGAGCTGTTGCAGGCATTCCCTTTTCCCTTTGTACCGTCAAGGTTCTTTGAGTCTGCTTAATAAGAAGACACCTTGCTCAAAATTGCATTTTCTCATTACAAGGGATTTGTAAATGGAAAATGACAGACACCTCCAATGTCCTTTACAACATGCTATATGTTTGGAGTGAGGAGGGTCTGGAGGAATGAGCTTTGCTAGCCGGAGACACTGCAGGGAAAGAGGTCGTGCATGAGCGAGCGAGAGACCGCCGAGTGGCTGAAAGGTCTATTCCTGTGCAGTCTGTCTCTTGTCACCCAGATGTCAGTCTGCTCCCCAGTCCCTGCTGTGTTCCAGGAACCCCAGCCTACCCTCTCTCCTTATCACCGATCTTATTTTCATCTTCATGGCCACTCTGGAGACAAGGTACTGTTGAACGGGCGCTGCCCCAGCGGGAAGCCAGCCCCACGGTGTCAAGTGACTGCTTTAAGGTCACTCAGCAAGTGGATCCTACCCGTTCTGGCTCTCTGTCCTGGTGGGTTTCTGGCTTTACTTAGAACTCCAGTTTGAAAGTGACTCACACAGCGGCAGCTGTGTAAGTGTTTGATTGAGAAGCTTTCTTTTACTGAGGACCTCCATGTCTTAATGTTAATTTGCCTCAGAGGTCTGTTGAGGTTTGCTTCTTGTGCTTGAGATGGAATTTACTACCCTCTGCCACCCTTGGAGCCTAACCTTTAAGCTGGAGAGGTTATTGTTTGAAGTCCAGTGCAGTTCTCAGGCCAACTCTGTGTCTGTGTGGGGCACACTTCCCCCCCTCTGTCAACCTGTGTTCTTAAAACATCTTAAGTGCCATATTCTGTAGATCTCTGAAGTGTTTGAAGACAGCGCGTCTTTCTAAAATATGTTTGACCTTGAAAACATACCTAATGTGACTACAAGTTTGATTGTAATAGGTGACCAATTACTAACCTGCATTTCCTTATTATCCTAAGCAGTTAGTAATACTAACTTTCAAGGACTAGACATTTGCATTACATTGATAAATGAGCTGTGTAGGTATGGTACCTTGAACAAGATTGGAAATGTATATACAGTATGTTTTAACATAATTAATCTCAAATTTGTATCAGTATACAAAAGGTGAATATAATATACAAAAGTCCAATCCAATGTAAAATATTTAAAACTAGTAGTTTTTTTTAGAAGTAGATTCAATAATCTACTTTTCGTCCTATCATATCTGTATCCCCCTTTTTTCTTTTCAAAGCAAGAATCCTGAATCTAATCCCCTCTGTTTAGCTTTTTTCCTGACCATTAACTAATAACAACTTGTAACCAATCCCCTAAACAATCTACTGAATGACCAAAAACCGCCCACCCCACCTCTTGGGAATGTGGGCATTGTTTGTTCTTAAATTTACTTCTGCTGTCTGGGGGCAGTGGTATCTTTAGGGGATTCTGAAAAGAAAAATTTGGGTTGATTGTCAAGTCCTGGGAGAGGTAGCAGTATCATTTGCTGTTCAGTCTCTGCGTAATAGGAAAGTGTGGGGTTTATCTCACGTCCTGGATAGAGTAGTCTGTGAGGCTGCTTCCAGGCTTCTTCGAAGCTAACCACTTCAAAATTATTGTGAGCAGTTTGTAGTCCAAAGCGAATCTTTAGTTGGTGTTTTTCAGCGTAGTGGTGTTATTATAACTATAACATGATTGTCATTGTTGTATTCCATCTTCTTTTTGGAAACTTCAGAGATGGTGTTCCGTCAGATTATTTCTGTTCTTGGTTAAGTTTTTCTGGATATGTCTCCCTTCTTCTTTCAGTACTTATTTGTTTAAAGATCTTAAATTCCTCAAGATGTTTGTTTTTATTTTCCTGAAAAGACCAAAACAAAACCCTTCCCCAACCCTAACTTTGGGGAAGTTCCTATTTTTATCAGTTTTGATTTATGGTTTCTCCTGAATTTTTTGTTCTCTTTCCTATAGCTGTTCTATCATCCAGAGCAGTATGGTTTCTTACAGTAAGCATGTGGGTTCTTTCATTGCTCTGGGAAGGAGTTTCCACAGGAAACAACTGAACCGAATTAGGCATAGGGGCCTCTCTAAGGCCCCGAAGGAGTTTCCGGACTGTGAAGGGTTACCTTGAATGTCCCTTGTTGATCTTCATTCATTAGTCCAGTGCCTTTCTGTGCCACATCTTCTGTATAATCCAGAGGGGAGGAGCATTCTGTGTGAATCATGCTTGGATAAAAACAGTGTTTCTAGCAACACCCTGTTTATAGTCCCTTTTAAGGAGAACTTGATGGCCAGAATCAGTGAAGGTTTCTTTCCAGCCAGGTATGACTTTAGTTAATGACTCAATCTTCTTTCCCACTTCTTAAATTCTGGCCCAAGCTTTCAAAGCTGCTTCGTAGCATAAAGCCAGGGCGTCATCATATAGAGACTGCCTTTCTATAATAGCACAGCTCTCCTCCGAGAAGTTGCTCTTGGGAGATTTCCACGCCTCTAGGTCTGCTCCTTTGTTCGGGTGTCTTAGCTTCTCCTTTCAACCAGGTACTCCATTGTAATTGAGGATCAGGCTCTGAAACAGCCTTAACCAAGTCTCTCTAGTCTCTAGGGATAATTCTATTGCAAGTTGCCACAAGTGGTGAATGCATGCCATATGAGACTGTCACTTCCCTGAATATTCTCAAATCTAACCTTCCACAGGAGTCCAATTAACTCTTACAGAGCCTCTCTCATTTGGCAATTCCTGTAAGGTTACCTAGATACATTAAACGTGGTTGTTTGAAAACCTTAGGCTGCTCCTCTCTAACCTTATAATGCAACGCTGAGATTGGTTGTCCTTTAAATTCCTCTGTGTAGGTTCGAATATCTCTGTGATCTGTTTTAATAAGTTTTTCTATGGCCGGTATCTTGGCACTCATATCTACCAACTTTTTTAGAGGTAAATCAAGAATTATCAAACCAATAGCAAGGCTTATCAAAATGATGATGTCAGTCCCAGTAAAGTTAATCATTTAATTATTCCAATTTTAAACTGCCCATTGTGTAATCATACAGAGACCTAACTCTCCATTGTAATAGTGCTTCCCATTTTTTAATGTGGGGAAAAAAACTCCTTTAACTGATTCTTCCCGTTAAGAATTCCCAATTTTCTCACCAAATCTGCCGACGATGGCGATGAAGGTGTAAGGCTGATGCTGTTGTGTAGAGCAGTAAAAGCCTGACTAATTTCAAGGCAGCTACCTAGTTTGGCAGCAGCCCAAGAAGGGGGTCCAGGGCGTGCCCACCAGGAGAGAAGAAAGGAGAGCCTAGGTTTGGGCAGTGACTCCGTGTATCTCCAGCCTGTGCGGGTGGCTGCAAAGCCACAGGCAAATGGCTTTCTTGTGAATTTGTACCCCAAAAGTTGGACACCAGATGTAGCATGAATTCTAGTTGGTCTTAATAATAAAAACCCAGAGACAGATACTGGGGTTAAAGCTGAATGAAGATCAGAGAAGCAAAGCAGCCAGCCACCAGCCTTGCCTCTACCTCAGACAGAGAGGGTGGCCCTGTCCTCAGATTGCATCTTCAGACTGAACTGCTCTCTACCAAACCTTCCACCTTATATTACTCTCTAGTGCTGGGATTAAAGGCGTGGGATCCCTAGTGCTGAGATCACCTTTGTGTGAGCTGTGTTTCTCTTAGGAGACAGGATCAGTTTCGTGTAGCTCAGGGTGACCTTGAGCTGCCTCTCTTTCCCGAGTCCCGGGATTAAAGTGTGCGCCACCACTGCCTGACTTCTGTGGCTGACTAGCTTTGCATTCTGATCTACAGGCAAGCTTTATTTTTTAGATCAAAACCAGAATATCACCACATAGTGACCTACAGGTTGAGAACTGATCTAGAGTATGCCTTCTAGCCCTGCATCTGTAGGTGGACCTTTCCCTCCAGGAGAAGCCTTATAACCCCAGGCTGCTTTCACTCTGTTAGAGTCCCCTTCTTCTCCTCCCCCCGCCCCCCCCCCGTCCGTCCGTCCGTCTGTCCCCGTGGAAACCCCTATAGGGGGTATGTTAGTGCGGAGCCAAGGTCTTGGGCTATGTGAATAGGTTCCCAGGGGAGGCGGAGTCTGGCCTTGGCTGGGCTTCTAATACCCCATGCTCCCTATCACACACACACACACCACACACGCACGCGCACACACACACACACACACACAGAGGCTGAGCCCTCATCAGCTTCCTGTTACTTAGTCTCCCAGTCTTCATAGTCAACAAACATATCTTCATGTGACCTGTGGAGGACCTGTTTCTTTGCCCACAAACAAAATGGAAATTAGTCCTCAAATCCCTTTCCTATTCTTCCCTTGGCTGCACTGTCTCCTCGGAAACCTGTATATGAAACCATGGCTCCCTAGGTCTCACCCTAGTCCGTTGTGGTTCTGCCCATTTTCTAGGTCTGCTCATCTTGTCTGAGCTCTAAGCTTCATGCTCAGACCCAGCCAGGCTAAGCCGTGAGCTAAACTCTAGCTTAGGGCTGTGGGCTAGAAATAGCCCTAAGTCCAGAGTCTCGTCACCCAGGCAGGGCAGACATGCTTAGGACATTGTGATAAGTGGTGCTACAAGAAGAGAGAGTTCCCGTGAATCATGGTTATGTGTCTAATGTTGGTCCAGGGCCCAGGACAGGTGAGGGAGCTTACGCTAACTGCTAACGTCTACACACCAAAGATGGGACCCTACCCAAGAGAAGATGTGTAAATGCATATAAACCAAAGAGCTTGTGAGTGTCTCCTAGGATTTGGGTGCTGAAAAGTGGCAACGGTATAAAAGATAGGAAGGCACAGCACGCAGACAGAGCGCTTGGCACACCCAGTGAGCCCTGCCCTGTGTGAGGTTCTCTGCCGGAGGAGAGAAGTGCTGCTTTGCTACTTCATATCCTTGAAAACAGGAAGCAGTTTGGACCCACCCACTTGCGCAACCCTGGATGAAGGGCTGTAGCCACTTCCCTGCTCACTCAAGCATGTGTTTGTCTAACCTTAGTCCCTTGTGAAACCCGGCCACCTGGTCTCTTCATGGCATGAAGGACGGTTTGCTATGAGAACTTGTTTTAAAATCTCTGTAGCCTGCAGAGGCAGAGGCCGCTTGGTGTCTCTACAATGGAGCGCTCACTCACTGGCTCGAGCATGCACTTGAAAGCCTCCCTAGTAATGAGGAGGGTGGAAGAGGACCTACCTGCCCAGGATCCTAGACAAGGAGCGGATACTCTGAGTTCCACAGATGAAAAGAGCCTAAGGACCCTAGAGCTCACTGTATGGGAAAACGCCCATAAGATCAGAAGTGGGTGTGGTGAGCTACTCCACCCCGGGGAGCTGAGGCCTGGCACACAGCAAACAGACTGCTCTACACTATTTGTTTGCTTTAGAATGATGTATGGGAAGGCCTGGCCTGGTGGCACACTATTTTAATCCCAGCCCTCGGGAGGCAAAGGCAGGAGGATCTCTGAATTTGAGGCTATCCTGGTTTACGAACAAGTTCCAGGGCTACACAGACAAACCTTGTTTTGTGTGTGTGTGTGTGTGGGGGGGTTAATCAATGTATCATGTACATAATTTCACATGTTTTTAGAACTGGTAACAGAGAAGGCAGAGCAGACAGACCAGTGGTCGAGTTGCTGGTCCTGACTGTTTTCTTCTGCATCCATGTGGGACCTCCTTTTCTAGCCTTGCCTTCCTGCTCCTGGAGATTAGCATTTCTGAGCATTGCCTGTTGGCAGCTTGCCGGTATCATGAGAGGCCCTGGCAATGATTGAGGGGAAGGGAAGAGCAAGAGCTACAAACCCTCTGCTCATCTGAGGCAAACTGATAGGAACCCGCCCCCTGCGGGACAGAGGTAGCCCAGCAGGCCCAAGGCTGCCAAGCTACTAAGTTCCTACACCTGAAAAAGTGTACTCCATCTCTGCTAGTGCTTGGTAGAGCTTCTAGAACTTTCTGCCACCCCCACCCCATGCCCTACTTTGGCTTCCACAGTAAACCCAACTAAGTTTTGTGAGTCTTCATAACAGCCTCTTACCTGGTCCGGTCCCAGCCTATTAATAATGTGCGCAGGTGCCTTGGAAGCTTCAGACCCCTTTCGGGGAATGGCTTGACCCTGGAGGTCCTGACTCTGCTGTCCAGACTTCTTCAAGTACACACCCAGCGCCACTACTGCTGGTGCCCGGAGGTGTGGAGCTGGGGCCCCAGCTCCAGTGTTCCCTTCTGGGTTACCCCAGAGCCCTCACTGACTCGAGCATGCACTTGAAAGTAGGGTAGAAGACGTTCGTTACTTGTGTAGTGGTTGTTTTCAAACTGCTTATGGTGATGATTCCTGCTCAACGTCTGAATTGTGGTCATTTCAGTGTTTGTAAACGGTGCATTCGCAAGATGGACCACCACTGTCCTTGGGTCAACAACTGTGTCGGCGAGAACAACCAGAAGTACTTCGTCCTGTTTACAGTAAGTCGGCTTCTGGGCTCTGCCCTGTCTGCACGGGGCAGGGGGCTCGGGCTCTTTGGGAAATCCCAGCGCTCTTAGTGGTCTCTGCTGCTGTTGAAAACACTGCCTTCTCTCACTTGGGATCTCTCTGGCTCAGCCAGTGTCCTTTGCTCGTGCATGTAAAGCTTGATTTGAATAGCTTGAGGCAAGTGCTGTGTTCTGGGTATCGCTCAAGCATTGGTCCCACATAGCTAAAGAAGGCAGTGTTGCTGGTGACCTCAAGCTCTGAGCTGCGGATAGGTGGAGAACAGTTGGCACTCTGACCTTTTAAATCAGAAGCAGCAGCAGGTGTTATGTGCCCCATGTAGCCTGAGCCACACCTATGTCTAGGCTGTGTGTCTGTTTTGGGTCCATATATTCCTAGAGAATGCTGATACCTTCCCACTCAAAACAGGAAGTAGGGGGTCTGTGGGCAGGAAGAATCCCAGATACTTTTCCGGCCTCGGCCTAGCAAAGTGTTCCTGTAGCACATGTTGTCAGTAGTCTGCTCAAGGAGACTCACAGTTAGGACATTCTCCCCGTAATGGCTCAGCACTGCTTTCCTGTTTCAGATGTACATAGCTCTCATTTCCTTGCACGCCCTCATCATGGTGGGATTCCACTTCCTGCATTGCTTTGAAGAAGACTGGACAAGTAAGTATTGCCAGGGTCTCCCTCCCTGCTGTGGAGAGGAGAGGGGTTAGGGCCGGAGTGGGGCGGGGGCTCTATCCGCTTTTCAGTACCAGCCCCAGCCATATTTTATTAGATCTTCTGAAAGCCTACGGACTGGTCAGGTTGTAGGAGACAAAAAGCAGCCCCTTCAGGTTGGACAGACAGGCACCAGACTGAGCATGTCCCAGGGGACTGCAGGCTCCTAAGAAGGGCAGGGGTGAGTCTGGGCTGCACGGCCCTTGTTTGGTTCCTGTCGCTGGGGTGGAACCCAGGGCTGCACCAGGCAAGCTCTCCTCTCCTCAGCAACGCCCCAGCTCTCAACAGGGTGCTGGAGTCGGTGTCACTTCGTTTTTCTTTGTGTGCATGTGTAGTAGTCGTTATTTTCAGTAGTTAGTGCTTGTCTTGGTGATACTTAGAGGTCTCAGACAGTGTCTCCCTGTTCACAAGTATTCCATTTAAATGTGCCAATGCTGAGGAATAGAGTTTAGCCATAATCCTGAGGGAGAAATGGGGGTTGGGGTTAAGAGCAAAAAATAATAAGCTGCCACATGCTGGGCTAGATGTTTCACACTCAGACCCTGCAAGGCAGATGTCCCAAGCAGAGAACCGTCTTCCAGTTCTGCCGTTGGCGAGTGGCCTCTCCCTCTTGCCCTCTCTGTGGCCACCACAGTTCTGAGAGGGGGACAGGGACGAGCAGGGTACCGTGTGCAGAACTGAGTGAGTCCTACCGGTTCCTCCTCACTCAGGGAACATTCTGAAAGTGCACGCATTCCGCTAGCCCTGGCAATCCAGGTCAGTTCTGGTGTGGCCTTGGCAACTTGATATAGGGTGTCCAACGAGGTCATTTAGTCATCACAAACCTCCATCCTGTGTCAGGTTAACTGTGGACAATGATTGCATAACCCAGACACGGAGGTGTCTGACTGACTGACTGACCGCTTTGTAGTGGTGCTGACAGGGCGGTTAGAGCCCACTAGAAATCAGGCAACGTGCAGGAGCTATTTTGATTATTGCTTTGTTTAGACCCCACAAGCTCCAGGATAGGAGAATGCTCCTAATTTATGTATGACAGAAGCTGGGGCCAGGGTTTGAGCACAGTATCGAGACCTCTCGCCTGAAGAGGGCCTACAGTTCAAGCCTTGGTGTCAAACCTGGTCTGATGCCTCCGATGCATAGGGTCCTCCCAGCCAGATTCCTGATGGAGTGGATTCTGGACATCCGTTTCTAGGTCAGCAAGGCTAGAAAGGCAGTCCCCAAAGTAGAAACCTGGAAATTGCCCATGGGTGATAGTTAATATCATCCTTGCTTGGCTCTGATTAAGCTGTTGAGCCCGTAATAGATTTTGTATGACAGGGCTCAAGGAACTATGCCCTAGGATGGGTGCTCAGAGTTAACATTCAAACAGGAGTCAGGGACTCCCTCATTCTCCTTGGGCCTGGATCCTGCCCTGTTTGGAATTCTCAGAGCCTAGGGTAAGAAGGAAAGTAGCCTTCCTGGCTCTGCCCCAGTAACAGTGCAGCTGAGAAGGGTGGGACATCCATTTTGTGTGTGTGCACACACACACATGTGCACACATGCACACACACACACACACCACACACACACACACCATATACACACACACACACACACCACACCCCACACCCCACAGCTGGAGTGAGCTATACAAATGTTCTTATCCATTTGCCTGTACTGAAGGGAAATTAAATCTCTGAGTGCCCAACCTTCGTGCCCAGAGACCTGTGGTTGGCACCATTCCAAAATCAATTATACGGGAGGGAGAGGACTAGGTAACTTTCTGCCTGGAGTTTGAAGTAGGCTGTAGAGGTAGATGCCAGGTAAGGAAAAAGAGGGGCAGTTCCAGTTTCCCGTGGACGGGGTGGTGGGAAAGGCAGGCTAGCGTGGAATGTGAGGGCCGTCACTGCTAGAGCTCGCAGCCAGGCTCTTGTCCCTTTCCCTTGAGAGTCCTGCTCCTCCGTCTAGTAGACTGCCAAGACCAGGTTGTGCCCACCTAGGCATACAGAAGACACTTTACCAGCTATGCCATCAGGCACACAAGTGGTAGGCAGATCCACACTGAGGCGTAACTCCATGTCCATAAAAGTAAAATAAAAAAGAAGGGAATTCCTGTGAAGGTGTAAGTTCTGGGGAAGCCAGAGGAAAGGAAGGCATTTCATATGAGCCACTCCATGTCAGTCTGCCCAGCACATACGTGGTGTCCATCCTCACATCCCATGCAGCCTCTTTGTCAGAGGAAGCAGGCCTAACCCGCACGGGCCGCACCCGCACAAGAGGCTGCACCACACCACCAGCCGTGTTGCCAGGTGTAACGTGTCACATGTGTGGCGCATTCCCTTCTCTGTTCACACAGTCTCCCTCAGCAGCTTAGAGCACTGCTGTCACACGTCACTGCTTCACAGTGCAAGGGTGGGTGGGTGGGTGAGTGCGTGCGTGAGTGCGTGCGTGCGTGCGTGCGTGAGTGAGTGCCTGCCCTGGCCCCTCCTCCCTTTCCCCTCCCCCAGCCAGGAGCAAATCAGTAAAAGCTCCAGCATGACTGGCCGTCTCAGGTACACAGATGTCCCTGACAAAAATGGACATTTCCATGCACTGGTTAGGCCCCTCCTTGGCAAGTAGTCTGCTCTCAGGCCCCCAAACTACCAGGTACTCCTGGACCTACCCAAGTCTCATACCTGGGACCTAAACGAAGCATGGGGTAGCTGGGACTGGGGGTACCTGTCCAGGAAAGACCATTCCTTCTCTGTGCTCCCTGGGGAGAGGCTGAATAATCTTCTTCCAGTAAGCCCACTCTGGGGCCTGAGACCATGAGGAAAAGGAATGCCTGCTGGGTCTAGTCTCTCAGGGACTTCTCGAGGGAGTGAGAGGTAAAAAGGATAGGACCTGGAGGCAAGGTGGGAGCTGGGTGGGGTGGCAGGGAGCCGTGTAGCCATCACAGCCCCCGTGCCGCTTTCCTTGCAGAGTGCAGCTCTTTCTCGCCGCCCACCACGGTCATCCTGCTCATCCTGCTGTGCTTTGAGGCGCTGCTGTTCCTCATCTTCACATCGGTGATGTTTGGGACCCAAGTGCACTCCATCTGCACAGATGAGACGGTAAGCGGGCTGCCTGCCTCCTCCAAGCTAGGCTTTGGGGACCCAGGTCAGGGGTCATGCCTGAGGGTCCCCTGGAAATGGTTTGTCTGCAACCTTAGCCAGAGGTTGCCTTCCACACGGTCAGTCCCTTCTTTATTATACATTGTGCCCTGCCGGGTGTTCTGCCAGGGTCTTGCCCTCCCCTGCAAGACTCCAGACACCAGCTTCTAGAGCTGATCTCATGACTGGATCCAGGAGACAGATCTGCTTTGAGCGTCCCAGGCCAGCACATTCCGGTCCTTGTCCCCTCCCCCACTCAGCTCATGACCTACAGCCAACTCCTGACCATAATGGAACATTCCCTGCCTTCTGTGCTGTGGGTTCTGGAAGATGAGGTGGGCAGCACCTTGGAGTAAATGAGCAGAGGATTCATGGGGCCCTGGGTTCACTCTCTTGCTTGCTCCTGACTGTATGAGTGCTGCCCACTTACCTCCCCAGAGAAACATGACACTATCTATCGGCCGTAGTCTGGGGGCCCATGCTCTTCTGGAACCAGTATTAGACGGAGGATGGCTTCAGGTGCTCCTGCTCTGTGGGCCTAGAAGCAGAGAGGCGGGTGGTGCTGTCCATCGCCAGAGTGCCATTGTGTTTCTAGGTGGTTCCCGATGCTCAGCCACTGTGTCCTTTATAAGAATTCGTGTCATTGCAAGAGGTTTGTTAAACACAGTAGCTTTGGTGTATATATTCAACCACATATCCAATTGGTAAAGGCGACCAGCTGCTCCACAGAAGAACTGTAGGGAACCAAATATGACTGTTAGACTCCGCCCATGTGGGGAGCCCCCCAGAGCACGTTCGGGGACAGAAGATAAAGTGACAATCTGGTCCTAGCTCTATTCTTCCTTATCAAGACTTCCTGCCCCTAAAGAGAATTATGTTGGAAAGAAACAAAAGGCCTGTGCGGGGAGAGCATGCTCTTCCTTAACTGATTCCTCCCAAGTCCCTGGGCTGTGGAAACATGGGCTACCCCATCCCTTCTTGGCAGACACTTGTTGCAGACAGACAGATAGCCCCTGCTCTCTGCTCCTCTGGCATCTTCCCACTCCCTGATTTTTGTTTTGTTTTCTGTATTTTTTCCCCTGAGAGTTGGCAGGGAAGTGGCAGAAGCTGTGAGAACTGCCTTGGCCTCCACGCTCTCTCCGAGGGAGCTCTGGGAAGACCCTCCTCACTGACTGAGGCCACGAGCCTCTATCCTGCACTAATTTCTTCCCCTGTGGTGATTCCTCCCCTTACCAACTGCCTCCTGCTGTCTCACCCTCTCTCTGTGCGTCTGGGCTGGGTACACCACCAGAGCAGACCCTTTATCTGCTGCTCGCTCTCTCGCTCTCTCTTTTTTTTTTTTTTTTTTTTTTTTTTCTGCAAAGTTGTCAATGTAGCTTCAGCTCTCCTAAGCATCTTTCCCACACCAACACCCACCGTTGGTTGTCAGAATTTTGAGCTCCTGCACCAAAGCCCGTGAGTGCACAGGTGCCTTGGGGCACTCCCTGACCCGGCCAGGACTCAGGTCTGGCACATAGACCCTTTGACTAGATGGTGTCGGTCTTGTTGGTGGCAGTGGCCTGGGTGCCCACTGAGAGCTCATTGCCTCTTCTTCCTTGGGGGCTTGTAAATGTGTGACGCTTCCTATGAGAGACAGAAGAAGGCTGCACCGTGTAGGTAGCTTTACTGCCCTGAGAAAGAAGTGTTTGCCCTGGTCATCGGAGGCGTGTGGGCGTCCCTCCAAAGCTGCAGCGCTGCTGGGGTGTTTGACTGAAAGTGTGACTGTTCTTGTTTTCAGGGAATAGAACAATTGAAAAAGGAAGAGAGAAGATGGGCTAAAAAAACAAAGTGGATGAACATGAAAGCTGTTTTTGGCCACCCTTTCTCTCTAGGCTGGGCCAGCCCCTTTGCCACACCAGACCAAGGGAAGGCAGACCCATACCAGTATGTGGTCTGAAGGACCCCGACCAGCATTGCCACTCAGACCACATCATGGCACCGTCCCATCAGCTCTCGTGAATGTTTAGGCCAAAAGCAAAAACAAAGTGACTACTCTTAAAACTTTTTTATGTCTCCAGAAAAATGGCTGAGCATTGCAGAGAAAAAAAAAAAGTTCCCATGTTTTATTTTTTAAAAAGAAAAAAAAATCATCTTTTCAATTTTTTGACGAGTGAAGCTGCTCTTCTTCCTTTTAAAATCACTTCTCTGGCCTCTGTCTCCTCTCTGCTGTCTGTCGGCATGACTAACGTGGAGGGTGCTGCCCAGGCCCTGCCCCTTCTACTAATTGAGTGCCCCCGATACTGTACATGGATGAACTGGCCCAGTAGGAAAGCCGAGAGGGCCCTGACCCCCTCCTGCCCACAAGGCAGCACTGGCACCCGCAGGACTCAGAGCGGCATTGAAGACGATGCTAACCCTTTGAGGCCTAAGAAAGGCAAGATTGGCACTGGAGCCTGCAGATGTGCCCTTGGTGCAGTGGCTTCCTGCCCAAGTGAACAGGGTTTGCCTCAGTCTCAGAATCAGTTGTCAGCCTTGTACCTGATGGTCATGGATGTACAAAATGATTTGGGTGACGTGGGAGAGGTCATAAGGGGGGAGGAGGAGGGGCCTTTGAATCCTGAATCAGCAACTGGCTTTTTGGAAGACTATGAAGGAGAGATGTTTTCCAGGTCAAAAAAATGCCTTATACATTCACAAGAGGAAAAACACATTTTCAGGCAAGCTACGTTTCCTTGTGTTTTACAACTACTTCCTACCCCAGTTCCCACCCTTTCCCAGCAAAGATGTCAATCAAGCTGTGTTCATTCGGAGTGAAACAGGCAGGCCAGCTATCAGGATCATCTCATTCATACGTCTGTCACAAACACATGTTTTTCTGGAGTTTAAAGCCCTCCAAATGTGCACAGACCTGTGTCTTACGTTCAGCCTGAGAGGTGGTTTGTAGATATTAGGCAGCGTTCTTAAGAGTCACCAGGTAGCCTCAGCCCACCACACGGACTGGCCCTCCCATCAGGAGGCACATCCTGTGCTGAGTCACTGGAAAGAGTGGTCCTGAGGTGGGGAAGCACCAGGGATGTAGGAGGTGCCGAGAGGAGGCCATTCTTGCACACTCCCCCATTTAGATTCTGAGCACCGTGAAGTCCTCCACACCATTGGGTTTTAAAGCAGTCACCACACAAGTCCCTTTTAGCTTTTGCTTGGGGTGGGGGTGGGGATAAGGTTTTTCATTCCAGTCCTGGATAGGAAGAAAGTTAATGTAGCCCTGAGATTTTTCAGAAGTCAGTGGGACATGCTGCCTCCTCCCAACTCTGTCAGTGCTTCCACACGGAAACAATGCAATAAACCTTTTCCAAACCTCCGTTTCTGCTCCACTCTCTCCAGGGCCTGCACAGAAGGGCAGGTGGCGTCAGGCTGCAGTTCTTAAAGGATACTGATGGCCCTTCTGCAGTCAGAATGCTGCATGCGTGTGCGCGTGCGTGTTGGGTGGTGCTTTGTGGCTTCAGGGGGTCCTGCCCAGCAGAGCAAAGCTGAGCCGACAGAAAGTGCCTGGAGTCCTTACCCACAGTTCTGGAGTGCTGCTGTGGAGGCCTCTAGCTGATGGTATCATGTGGTGGTAGATGAGACAGCCCTGAGGTATTTTACCTGGGGACTTGTCCACCTTCCCTACCTCAGTCTCAGTTGGCTTTGACTTTCCTCTGCTGTGCTGCTTAGGCGGAGGTCCTGTGGGTGTGGGTGTGTGTGTGTGGGTGTGTGGGTGTGTGACACCTAATTTTATATATTTATAGATAGGCATATAGGCTTTTTTTAGATCAAATTCATAGCATTTGTTCTCCAGATAGCTTTTAAATTTTATTTATAGTTCTCTAGGTATATATGAAAAAGGTGTGGCCTATTCAGGTTCAGTAGGTTAGAAAGAAGGGTCTAGCCTTGCTTGAATACTCAGGATGGACCCACTGGGCAGCAACGCTTACAGCTATGGTTTCTCTTGTTGCCATTGTCTGTCTCTCTCCCTTCTTCCCCCATCTCCCTCCCTCCTTCCCTCTCCCCCCCCCCCCATACACACACACTTTGCTTCTCGAGACTGGAACTCAGGAAATAATAGCCTTCGAGGGCTTTCCCCCTGGAGTTTCTAAGGGATGCAGTAGATGATGGTCCTACATTCAGAAACGAAAGCCCGGGCTCCAAACAGGCTTGCCCCGACGGTGTCCCAGGGCTGAGTTTGCCTCTGCATTATTACAAGTCCCAGTTCTCAGACTAAAGCAAAAGGGACTCAAAACAGTACCGCCCTGTCCTGTGTGTGTCCTGTTTCGTTTTCCCTGAGACAAGGACCAAGGCATGTGTGTCAACAAGTGCGTCTGCCTCTGAGCTCTTGTAGTTTCTTCAGATGTACTAAAAGCTCTTTCTCAGTGATCCCCACTGGTAAGGAAGCCGGATCCCATCTTTCAGAATGGGAACGCTGGAGAATAGGAGTGAAGAAGACGTGGCCAGTTGGGCTGGTTGATCCCGTGTTCTTGTCCGTCTCTGATGTCATGTCTGTATGACATGGGCTTGGTGACATGCATAGAGGATACATACCAGATTAGAAATATGTGCTGGGCTTCTCCTTAATGCCATTTCATCTTTGTAACACTTGGACCTTACAAGAGTTAAAGGATGGCCAGCTTTTGCTCATGAGGCTCAGCATGTCATATCCTGATGAGAAACCTCCCAAATGAGCCAAACAACCAAGTACTTACTAAGGAATACCCATGCTAGACCAGCGTCCATTTCTCTTCTTTCAAAACAAAGTACACCAGTTTCAAAGGTTGAAGTAGCCAAGGAGCAGATGTGATTCAGAGTTATGGGGATGGGCCTTCAGGTCAGCTCTGCTGCCGGTGGCGATGGGTGCTGTTACTGCCCAGGTTGTGGGATGTCATATCCCAGGCCAGCAGGTGATCCCACTGAGCAACTACTTCCCCTCTACACATGTGGCCCCTCCCACAAATGGATGCCAAGGCTACTGACGATCCTCCAACATGTATGTCATCCAAGCCTGACTTGGCCAAGGGCACCTTACTGAAGAGCCAACTATGGAAGGGTAAAACCAAGGAACCAGCCTTCCTGTGAGGAGCATCCAGTGACTTCAGGCCCACAGTGTTTGAGCAGCCCAGCCACGGGCAGTGCCCTGATGTTTATTTCCCACTGTGGCTTCATCATTCACGGGACTGACTCTTGCCTGTATGAAGCCAAGCGTGAAGGTGCACTCCTGCAATCCCAGCAGGTTCAGGAGTAGTGGCAAGAGGATCAAGTCAGGGTCACTCGTGGACATACACAGAGCTCATGATTAACATCTGGTGCATGAGACCCTATCTCAAGAAATAAAGAATTCATAAAGAGCCAGTTATGGTAGTATGTGTCTGTAGTTCCAACACTCAAGAGGTTAAGGCAGGCGTGTGGCTTGAGTCCAGTTCAAGGCCAGCCTAGGCAGCAGAGTGAAACCCTCATTTCAAAGAGAAAGGAAAGAAGCCACCGAGCAGCTTTCCAAAACCAGGGCCTCCGTCTCCTTATTTCTTCCTCAAAAGTAAGTTATGGCTTCAACAAAGCAGAGTAGTCACAGATCCCTCTGTCCTTTACTGTCTCGAGGACAACGAATAGCAGAGGAATAATCACTACTGGGGGGGGGGGGGCGGGCTGCCAGAAACCCTCTGGGGAAAGGCATCAGCTGTAGTGTGGAATGAAGGACACCTGGAATTTAGTGGCAACACTTTTTTTTTTTTTTTTAAGATTTATTTATTGTGTTTACAATGCTCTGCTTACATGTCTGCTTCAACACCAGAAGAAGGCACCAGACCCAATTACAGATGGCTGTGAGCCACCATGTGGTTGCTGGGAATTGAACTCAGGACCTTTGGAAGAGTAACCAGTGCTCTTAACCTCTGAGCCATCTCTCCAGCCCCATAGTGGCAACACTTCTAATCGCAGTGTGTGTTCCAACCTCTGCTTGGCGTACTGACACTGTGAACTTGAGAGTCCCTAAGCGTTAGTTTCTCTTTGTAAAACAGATGAGTGTCTGCTCTGGTGGTTTCTGTAAGAACTGGATGAAAATGCAGAAGATAGAGTGTGTGGGGTTTGGTTTCTGTGTGTATAACAGCTGCACTTGTCCAGTCTGGGTCGTCCATGTTCTTAAAAACTTTTCTTGTTGAAGGGATAAATTTGAGACCAGGTCTCTTGGTAACCCTAGTTAGGTTTGAACCTACAGAGATCCACCCGCCTCTGATTCCTGAGTGCCAGGATTAAAGACATGCATTACCATGCCCAGCAGAAACCATCTTTTAATACATTTACTGCTGAATGATGTTCCAAAGGTTTTTGGTTGTGAATATGTGTGTGTTATGGGTCACAACAGGGCTACGGTACAGTGGTGAGCTAGTATCTGGCCAGCTCTAGAGAGCCTGCTGTAGGAGTGCTAACTAACTCATCTGCTGACACTGGGGTCTTGTTCCAGGGGTCTCACAAGCCTTGGGGTGTCTGCCTCCCTTGGGAGTGTTAGGCTTCATGTATTCGTGCTGGAGTGTTGGTGAATGTTCACAGATCACACTCCATAGAAGGTGCCAGTGAGACCCAGTGCCTATTCCCTTGAGCATGAGATATGGGTATGCACACCTATGAACCTCAGGCTGCAGAATTTTGCCTTCAGGACACTTTCAAGTCTACATAAAACTCCTAGAAAAAGAAGCCCTCAGGCCTGTTTTATGCATTAACTTGTTTGGATTATTTCCTTTCCAGAGTCAAAGCTGACACATGTTGTCCGTTCATTTAGCTGCTAAGGAATGTCAGCACACGCCAGTTGGTCCTAACACACACACAATGGCTATCGTGGCTTTCTCTGTCCCTCCACCTGACCTTTAGGTCCAGAGTTGAGGCTTTGTCAGAGAATGGGGAAAAACACTTGGGTGGAAAGAAAAAAATTATTTCCTGTTTCTGCATAACCTTCCAACCAAGCTTGCACTGCTGTCTCAGCACTGACACCTTCCTTACCAGGTGGGTGACATAAATCTGTGATCTTGGCTGTGGATGAATCCAAGGCAGTGTGGGACACCCACCCAGTGTGTCATCACATTGTATTGACGGAGTGAAAATGAGTCACCTCTGTCACTGCCAGAAAGGTATGGCCAGGCACGAGGTGATTTGCAGGAGGTGTTAAATCTCTATCCTTTCCTGATTCTTGTTCTGTTATGTAAAACTAATGCTGCTCCATGGCGAAAGCATGAAATGTGGGTAGATCCACAGGAATAAACACCATTTGCAAAGGTAACAGTTCCATGGAAAAGTCCTATATGAACTACTGCTCCCTGCACTATGATACCACACAGGTCACTGGATGGCCCAGGGTCACGTAAAACCGTCAACCATCTGTCATTCCCACATACCGTCCCGATTTATAAAATTTTTCATGTTTGTTTAAGCTTTTCATTGTGAAATTTCAGACTTATAAAAACCAGCAAAATTGTGTTATCTTCTATATGACATTCAGTGTCAAAGATAAACATCTTAAACCACCACCACCACAACAAAAAACTCCTTTCCCTTTCAAGGAAATAATTTTAAAAAGAGCTGAGCGGTGGTGGCTAACCCCTTTAATCCCAGCACTCAGGAGTTCCAGGACAGCCAGGGCTACACAGAGAACCCTGTCTCAAACAACTAAAAATAAAAATATAAAAGAAAAAGAGAGAGAGAAAAACTTGAAGTCTGCAAGGTGGCTGGGGTGGGAAGATTATGTGAACCTAGGAGTTCTACACATACAGCAGAGTGAAACCAGTTTTTCTTTTTAAAAAAACAACTCTATGGAGATGTACTGCCCTCTACCTCAGGGTCTCTCAAGGTTCTGCTCCTTGCCAGTCTTGCCTTTAGGGATTTCACATTCTATTATTTGTCTCTATTTCACCCTGTTTCTAGCAGTTCCAAAGTCTTAAGTTTGTCATTATCTACATTACTTATTTTAGGTTTTTAGAGGCAAGGTTTCTCTGTGTAGCTTTGGAGCCTGTCCTGGAACTCACTCTGTAGCCCAGGCTGGCCTTGAACTCAGAGATCCGCCTGCCTCTGCCTCCCAAGTGCTGGGATCAAAGGCTTGCACCACCAACGCCCAGTGATCTACATCATTTTAAATTGAGGATAAATTCATATAATGTAATATGAATCATTTTAAGTGTATAGCTAGTTCTGTGGTATTTATCAAATTCAGAAATAATCACTTCTGTTTCCAAAATAGTTCCACCACAGACCTTGGCCCCGTGCAGAGTAGACTGGGTACTCTGTCTAAGGGTTAGGCCGTGGTTTGGGGCAGGAGGGGCACCTGTGGTTTTCTATAATTGGGGACACTTGACACTGATTACTTCAGCCGTGGCAGTCCTGATTATTGTGTTAAGTCCGTTCACTGCTATAAAATGGCCGTAAACTCCTCTGGTGACTGTCGTTTCATATGAAGAGAGGCCATGCTCAGATCCCTTCCTGTTTCGTTTGTTTATCCCTGGCTGTCCTCGGCCACCTGAGTGCTAGGGTTAAAGGCGTGTGGCACCACACCAGGCTGTTAGCACAGGGTATGGTCAGATGTCTGCATAACAGAAAGGGTGTCCATTATGCCATTTGTGGGAGAAGATTGTGTGCGGAGATGTAGAACTGGGTCTTCATTGGAGGGGGATTGTCTTGAGTCATATGAATGCGCACATCTGTATCTGTCAGGCAAACTCAGTAAATCCCCTTTGCTTCCAGAAGAGGTGGAGTGAACAAAGGCCACACTGGGGGGGGGGAGGGGGGTGCACCGAGCCTCTGAGGATGTTATGGGCCTGGAGACTTGGTCTGGCTGTATGTTTAACAATTGTGGGCTTTTTCCCACCCTTCACCCTCTTTCTGTGGCCGACTTGCAGCCGGCACCCACAGCAGGTGAGTGGTCAGCTCGGGAGAAGCCGTGGGGAATGTCCACTGCCCACTGCATGACCAGGCCTGACATCAGCCCACAGTGGCCTGCGCCCCTGCTGGTACCCGCCCGCTGCACGTGGCATCTGCTGCTTCCCTTGCATGTCTGTGTCCTGTGTCTTCGCCTCTCAGCCTTCCCAGTGCCAAGCTTGCTGATCCTACTGTGGGCAAGGGTCCCCTTTCCTAGTGCTTTCATCAGATGGATAACTAGCTCATGCCTGCCAAAGCCACGGCATCCTTGGTCACTGGGTGTCTGGTCCCTGCCCAGCGGCAGACCTCTGCCCTTGGGGGAAGGGGCCGGGTGATAAGTGGGTGACAGGCAGATCCGCTGCCACGCCTGCTTATTGTGCTTTACAGTTTCCACTCTGCCCTACAGCTCTGTGGGGCTTCCAGCACAGCCCAGGCCACAGCAAGTTGTGCCACATTGGACTCCCAGGGTGTGTGTGTGTAGCACAGGTCACATCACACTGACCTTCTGCCCCATTCTCCTCCAGGGCATTGAACGCCTCCAACGAAAGAAACCGCCCCAGGAGAGCACGGGCAGCTGGAAGTCGCTCCAGGAGGCTTTTGGTGGGGACTTTTCCCTGAACTGGTTCAACCCTTTCACCAGACCTTGCCAACCAGTGATACCCATTGACAAGGGCTTGGTACGGCAAGTGTCATCTGTGTCAGACACGGACAACATGGCAACAACTGAGAGCCAATTGGAGGAGACAAAAGACAGGGACTCTGTGGAGGTGCTGGATGAGTAGAGGCTGTGGAGAATAACACACCAACAGCTCCCTGGGCCCCACAGGCCACCCCCTCGGTGTTACCAACTCTGTCCCCTTACCCTTTCTCCAGTTAGGACACGGGGTGGGGAGTGGGCAGAGGAAAGTAGGCGCTTTCCCTGAGTTCCTCTTATCGGATGTGCCAAAAGGAATGGTCCGGAGCCATTCCCCAGGCCTGGGAAGGCTGCCTAGTCTCCACTCAGCAAGGGAAATGGTGACCAGGATGTCCTGGGGGGGAGAGGGTAGGGGGGGAGAGAAAGCCACCTCTGCTTCTTATGGGTTGTCTTGGGGAGGCTGAAGACCTTGGAGAAGGATACTGACATCAGGAGTTACCTGCCTCAAAGGCTAGAGATACTAGCCATTCCTAGGGAAGGGATTCCTTGCCTGGCTGTGGGACTCAGGACAAAAGATGGGGTTGCTGAATCTGCCCTCCGTGCTTGGGCTTGGTTGAAAAGAGCACACCCCCCCCCCCACACACACACACACATCTGCATGCATGTGTGCAGAACCTGCCCCGATGGACATGAGCCCAAGTTTATGATACTATCACCCAAAATTAGTTCCCATCCTATAGTTACTAGACTCTTCTCTGAGACAATGAAGCCAGCCTTTCTGTGGCCACAAGACTGCATTCCCAGAAGAGCTGGGAAAGGACATATATTGAGCTCCTGGAGAAAACCTAAGACATGAGGACAGTACAACCAGAAGTGGCCACCTTTCAGAACAGCTCCCAAGAAGAAGGCCCCTCGCAGAAAGCTGTATGGCTGGGCCTAGTGGCACACGCCTTTATTCCCAGCATTTGGGGCAGGCAGCCAGACCTCTGTGAGTTTGAGGACAACCTAGTCTACAGAGTTCCAGGCTACATAGTGAAACCCTGACATGCAGACTGCTGGGAGCTTGTGCATCTGGCTATTGCCAGCAGTCTGGCCAGACTCCTGCACTGGCCAGCCTATTTCAGTAGTTGCTGAAGCAGCAGATTCTGTAATCTTACCGGCACGCCAGATCCCCAACTCAGGCTTTGAACCTCTCCCCAGTGTTGCTGGCATTGACCCTGGCATAGGATTCTGTATTACATCCCTTCTTCCAGCTCTGGGTGACAGGACATGAATCCTGGACCAAGGAAACCTGCGGCCACAGTCAGTGTTATGTGAGGTACTCTCTCGGGACACTGAGAAAGGAAAGCTGTGGGCTTCCAAGTAGTGGTCTTATTCTTGAGCAGCATCCTGGGCAGTCCCTGGAGGGTAGAGATCTGTCAGATCTTTTATTGTACACCCCACAGAGTGACAGCAGGACTCTAGGACTAACAGATATGACCTACCCCACGCCACTGCAAGTGTATTTCCCCCAAGAAGATCTGCTTTAGCATTTGTTAGGACTAACATGAGGAGCCCAGGTTGGCCCCACCGCTGACACTATTTGGAGAGAGGGCCCCTCTTGCTGCAGGGTCCTTAGCCCCAAACAGACCAGGATGACCTATGTACTGGACCATATACCAGAGACTCCACACCAAGGGGAAGGAAGGCTTGTGACTGGGTCCCCAAGGAGCAGCAGTGAGTGGGAGGGAGGGAGGCAGGGAGGGAGCGAGCTTTGGAGTCAGGATCTATGTTGAGTTCGGGCCCTCAAAAATGTCCTTGAACGCTGGGACTGAAACTCATCTTCCTTGGAGCCAGCCTGACCAGCAGTAGAGGTACCTCCCAGCCCCACAGCCAGTACTTTTCCGGAGTACTTCCCATAGAAAAGTTGAGCTGGGCAGGCATTTTGCTCTCATGGTTTAGAACTCTTCCTCTTCCACAAACCCATTATCATGTCAGGGCCTCAGCCTCATCTCTCCCAACGAGAGATGGACAGCCAGGATCATGTAGCTAGCTGCCTGCCCAGCCCTGAGCCGTGTGCCTTCTCTCCACGGTGACGCCGTGTGCCTTCTCTCCACGGTGACTCCTGAGATTATACTGCAACTGATAGGAAGAGAGGTCCAGTGTTTCTGGGAGGGAGGCCTGTTCTGCACCTGCCTCTTATTTGAATAAAAGTTCCTTGACCTACCTCTGTGAGTAGAGGTGCTCATTTTTAGTAAGAGATCCCAACCCACAGTATGGACAGCATGCTTCCTCTCAGGTCCAACAAGTGCCATGCAGACACTTATCAGTGGTTTCGCGGCGCTACTAACTGATCCTTCTTGGTCCCAGCCTGGGCTAGTAATCTCACAAGCGCGCAGCAGACACCTGCTGCCTCCGGGGGGGGGGGGGGTGGGCATCTGAGCAAAGGGAATTAGGACTGAGGTTTTCTAGTTTTAAACCGATGAAGGTGAGATGATGATGGCTAGTTTTATATCAATTTGAGTCAAGCTAAAGTCATCTGGGAAGAGGGAATCTCAATTGAGGAAATGCCTCCATAAGATTGGCCTGTAATTGCTGGCCAGTGGATCTCAGTGAGATTGAGGCCAGCCTGGTCTGCAAAGCGAGTTCCAGGACAGCCAGGACTGTTACACAGAGAGAAACCTGTCTCAAAACAAACACACAAACGAAATTGGCCTGTAAGCAAGTGTGTAATGCATTTTCCTGATTGATGTAGGAGAACTGAGCCCATTGTGGGTGGTGCCACTCCTGGGCTGGTGACCCCGGATAGAATAGAACAGGATGGGCAAGCCATGAGGAGCATTCCTCTGTGACCTCTGCATCAGCTCCTGCCGCCAGGTTCCTGCCCTGACTTCCCTCAGAGACTGTTACCTGAAGGTTAGGTGAAGTAAACTCTTTCCTTCCGGGTTATATTTGGTCATAGTGCTTTACCATAAGACAAGAGTGTCCTTTGAATACAGAAAATACTCTCTGGAGCATATGTCCACTTAGAGAGGCTGGCCGTCATGAAGAAGGTCCAGACCAAGGAGGCCAACCCCATTGGAATGAGCTCCTGGATCCATGAAGCTCAGAGGTAATGATTCTCCCCAGGTTTGTTAAGCAGCGTGCTGGTATACAAGCAAAATTAACTCAGAACCACATAGCCATCTTAAAGTCACCAGAGTTTAATTCAAAGCATAGTGATCATCTGAGCAGATCCCCTGATGGCAGAGCAGAACCGACTCCAGTGAGCAGAGCAGGGTAAGTTGCTTACCCAGATGTTATCATTGGCCATAGACTCGTTATCCAAGGGGATGCAGGCTGTGAGGTCTCCTTCCCGTGATCCACCTAGAGACAAGAGGGCCTCACGCCAGCGTGGGGCCTGCTTCTGAGAGGACCAGGGCCAGGATGCTTTCCTACAGGGCTGTCAACTCAGCCTCTAAACACCCATGGACTTGATAGAATCCGTAGTCCAGATGGAAGATGCCTCCAGCATTTCCAGTCCCACGGAATAGCAGCTCTGGGTTCTGTATACGGTTCCAAACCCCCGATGATAGTTGCACTGTCTTCTGAGGCCATGACTCCTAAACATGTTTGAGATGTCTGCCTGTGATATGTGCTTCAAGCTCTAGAGAGGTGCCCTGGCCCTATGGGGCTATTGCCTGATGTTACGTTTGCCTTTGAGCTCTATCTTTGGCTGGGCTGGCTCTTGAATCTGCCCTTACATGAGTAATTAAATCCAATCATCCCTTACCTGAAAGCTAAGTACAATTTAGGAAATGCTAACAAGCTTAGCTAAGGCTCAGAGCCAATCAGGGCTCCTGCCTTTGTATCAGCTGGGCTAGTTAGTGATGAGAACAATCTTCTCAGAATGAACCTCCTTCACTTGTCTGGAAGTAAACTTGACAATAAATTTCCTGGGTCCCATTCTCACTGGGGTGCATTTCATTTGGAAATGGATGAACTTTCCAGGTGGCAGTGTCCTAGAAAATATAAACGCACATCGTCAGCAAAGATGCATGGAAGAAAAGTGCATTGCACGAGGAACCAGGCACCTGGTTCCGGGCTGCTCTTGGGAAAGCCTTGTACTACAGGGCCCAGTAAAGCGGCCTCCACCTGAGGTTCGGCTACTTGTCTCAGCTGTAGGACAAGATGGCCGGCTGGGATGGCTGCTTTCCAGCTATGCCAGTCACAAACCCTCCTGGGGGTCCCCAGGAACATGGCTCATACAAGACGGTGTTGTCTGACCCTAGGTACTCAAGATGGCATTACCCGGGAGGGTGATGGACTCTGAGGCCCCATCCCAGAACTGCGGAACGGAACCTGTCCTTTAACAATGGTCCCAGGGAATCTGCACATCTGTGAAGGTCTAAGAACCCCCTACTCTGAGAATAACAGTAGCTTCTGGGATTTACTTGGGAGATCTAGACACCTGGTAAGGAGTAGACTCAAGGAACAAAGCATTTGATTAAAATCCTGCACTGGGCATGTCAGCATACCAAAATCAGTAGCATCTATCTAGTTCATCAGACAGAAAACAGAAGTATCCCCTGCACAGAGGCAACAAAGGCTCCAAGTGGGGATGCGCCCCCTTAACAAACACACGTGTGGATACACGGGAACTTATCCCGTGTCCTTGCAAGGTGGAAACCAGCATTGACATTTGTTTGGCCCAGCATAGTTCCACTTTAAATCCCAGATCAAGTGATTCTAAAAGTCCTATTCTTGAGAAACCAAGGGAGGAAATCAATCTACCTGCCTTCCCAGTACAGACATTCAAATGACACAAGACCACCTACAGAGTCAAGGGAAACAGAGTACCAGTTCAAAGATTGAGGTGTATTTGGGGACCTGTATAAATAGTGTTTCAGAATACTAGGGAAATGATAGGTTATTTCACAAAATTGGGGCTCTGCATTATTCCACCCCAAAATTAAAATTCACAGTAATTTTGTAAATAGTCATAAATTGCAGAAAGTATATACTATTTTTTGTTTGGTTGGTTGGTTTTTCCAGACACGGTTTCTCTGTGTAGCCCTGGCTGTCCCAGAACTCACTCTGTAGACCAGGCTGGCCTCAGACTCAGAGACCTGCCTGCCTCTGCCTCCTGAGTGCCGGGATTAAACGCTTGCACCACCACCACCTGGCAACTATTTCTATATTTTTGTTAATGACATAAAATTTGGTATCCCCAGAGGAGAAGATTAAAATTTTAATGTGAGTTCCAATGGTCAAGGCATATTAGGATTTTAAACAGTCTAGGCTGGGATATAGTTCCATGGGAGGGCCAGCCTGGTCTACAGAGCTAGTTCTGGGAGAGCCAGGACTGTTTCTCAGAGAACCCTGCAATGGCAGCTCACACCTTCAATCCCAGCACTCAGGAGGCAGAGTCAGGTGCATCTCTGTGAATTCAGTATATTGTCCAGCCTCGCCAACAGAGCAAGTTTTAAGCTAGCTAGGGATATAGAGTGATATTGTCTCAAAATAAGTAAGTAATCAAACTCCTACAAGCAGATTATACCTCAACATACCTTACTGAGTAGAGGTTGCACTCAGGTTAATAAGAACAGAAAGGAAACAACAGAAACATTACAGCAAAGAGTCAACAAGAAAAACCTGAGCTGCAAATAGAAATACAAACTAAGACAGGGTATGCTTTGGCATTTCTTTAAAACAATCAGACTGACAAGAAACAGAAAGGTCTGCCACTGGCAGAGTTCCAGTGCAGTCTTTTCTGCTAATCGGCACCAGTGACAAGTGCCTGCATTTTTGCTAAAACCCATGCTAGGCTAGAAGTCTGCATCTCAGAAGTATGGATGGCATGTGTGTGTGTGTGTGTGTGTGTGTGTGTGTGTGAGAGAGAGAGAGAGAGAGAGAGAGAGAGAGACCCACATACAGAATCTCTATTGTTAGAACAACTTGGGTAGACTCACCCTTGTTCCCAGGATTGCATGTGAGAGAGGGCCAGGCTCTCCACCGAGAACCTGATCTCAGTCAAAGGGATGGGCAGGGTGTTCTTGAAGGAGCAGTTGATGGTAAGTGGCCAGCTGACCTTGCCTGTGTCCGGCATCTGTTAAAAATGGGAGTGGAGAAAAGGCAGGTGTGACAAGCTCAGGGTGAGAGCTTAGATGACAGGTTCTATCAAGAAAGACAGTTCTTGGCCCCAGAGTGTAAGTCTGTGCTCACCTTGGAGGCTCTTGTGGGGAATCTGACCCACCTTATGCCTCTCTGAAATGCCATATATTTGCACATGTTAACCTCTTTAGTTTTGCCAGGCCTGTTCTTAAGGAACTCAAGGTACATAGCCTCATGGAAGCCAGTGGTCCTCTCGTGAACTATATACTCATCCAGCAAGTCAAGATGCCTCTTTGCCAAGGCTCAAGAGCTGAACAGTTGTTAGAGCCCCCAAACTATAGTGTGGACATAGGCCACACCTCAGCCACGACCTAAAATACCAAGTTTCCTCACAGGGCAGCCCAGAGAAACACATCCAAAACAGGCTGTGTTCATCCTTCAGAATATGCCCCAACCCACACCTGTCCAAAGCCAGAACACTTGAAACTCGTGCATGCCCCTGCCACACCTGTCCTGGCTGTATCCTCTTACTCAGAGCCCGCCTCCCCTGGCCCCGGGCACCCCAGGGCTCACATCTTCGCCCGCATATGTCAGGTTTGGTCTCCTTCAGATGTCCAAAAGCAGTGCCTGCTCCCAGGCTCACCGTGTGGTAGCCACATCCAATCACAGTATAGATGTGTTCGCTAGAAATTTTAGTTCCTGGAGTACAGTCAGTTCTGTAAAGGAAACGTGTGCCCTGGCAGAGCTAGACTGCCTACTTCCAGGATATCTAAAGCGCCAACCATACGTGCCAAGCCTTACAGACAAGTGTCCCCTCATGCCCACAGACATCTGTGAAGTCGCCTGGAGGAGGGTGGGAGCGAGACCCGCCCCCGAGAAAGTAGTCATGTCACCTGTATGCTTCGGTTACATGTTTGCATTGTACCACATGTAGGCCTAGTGCTCACAGAAGTCGGAAGAAGGCATCTCATCCCCTTAACCTGGAGTTAAAGGTAGCTGTTAACCCTTATGGATGTGCTGGAGACTGAAGCCGGTTCCTCTGAAAGAGCAAGTGCTCTTAGCGTCCAAGCCACCGCTCCAGACCCTGGTTTTCTATTCTTTCTTTCTTTTTTTTTTTTTGGTGGGGGGGGGGAGTTTGAGACAGGGTTTCTCTTTGTAGCCCTGGCTGTCCTGGAACTAGCTCTGTAGACCAGGCTGGCCTCTGGCATCTGCCTGCCTCTGCCTACTCAGTGCTGGGATGAAAGGCATACGCCATCATCCCAGCTAGAAATGCTTGATGACTAAGCCCTGGTGAGTGCACTGAAACAGTTTCCACGTGGAGTGAGTCCTTGTGAAGCATGCAAGTTCTGCTCCATAGAGTGGGGCCAGGCCAGGGCCCCAGCAGAGCTAAGGACAAGCCAACCATACTGCCCCAGAAATGTTAAAACATCCTCAGCCTGAGAAGTCCCTATGGGGGTTACTATACCTGCTGAGGTGCAAACATCTATGATGAACCCCAGGATAGGCCAGGGCTCACCAGGGAAGGGTTCTGGAGTGATGGTCTTTGGCAGGTCATCAGAGAGCCTCATGCAAGCTGTCTTGCCTAGGAGAACTGATCAGAGAGCCCAAGTTGGCCTGGTACTGGCTTTATCTCACCCCACGCCAGGGGTGGGCCCATGGCAAGCCTTGTACTTCACGGTTTGTATCCAAAACACTTAGATACACAAGAAGCTGATGGCATGGATTACTTCTGGTAAAAGGAGCTGGGGCACCTGAGGAGGATGGAGGATGGGAACAAAGTTTTATTGTGCCAACTGCATCTTCACAATTTTTGTCCTGTGCACAGGTATTCCTCATTAAAAAAAAAAAAAAAGTTTAAATTCAGTTAGCCAAAAGTTGATAAAAGAGAAACTGCTTGATACATCACGTCTCAGAAACACCTGTGTGGAAAAATGGCATGCAATTTTCCTTAGGGATGCAATGGACCACAAAGGCCCTGAACTCTGCCCATTTCCAAGTTCGGGTTCCAGATAGGAGCCCTTTCTGGCCTGCAGGCAGCTCACCTCAACAGAGAAAGCTGGATACAGGAAAGACAGGGTCATATCAGTGGCCACCTTTTCACCAGTTTCTATGACTTCTGCAATGATAAACCCTTTGATGACCATCTCATCGTCAACCATGCCCAGTTTGTAGATGTAAGAGTCGGCATCCAAGTTGAGAACCACCTGTGATTCTGTAAAAGTATGGGGTAGAAAAGAGCGGTGAGTCATTGGCAAACAGGGTTAGATTAACTAGGGTGACAGGCCTGCTTGACCTTAGAGGCATCCTGTCCTCTCTTTGGAGAGCCTGCGTCCAGGGGCCCAATGGACTTCACGATTAACTGAAATCTCCAGGCCCATTTTGGGCCCCCATTTTCGGGGTAGTCTGCTCATGCTGAGGGTACCCACAGCCCACCGATGAGACTAGAAATCCCAAACAAAATCTCTACTGTTGCAGAGATTTTTCGGGGCACCATCAGCACCCAATTTGTGACTGTCTGCCAGACCCCAGACTCCTGGCTCACTGATATGTTTGGCTCATTTTTCTACTGTGCTGGGATTGCTTATCACCACCAACATATAAAGTGCTCAATAAATGCTGTGTCTATACAAGCATAAAAGGGTAGAATGCAGGAGTAATCCATAGAGAAGAAAGCGATCAGATGGTGGGCACCCTGGTCTCTCTGGGGCTCCAGGCCCCATTGCCTCTGCTTCTGGTACCTTGGCTTTGGACCTGCACAGCCTTCTGGATGATTCCCAGGTTTGTTTTATTGCTGCCTGTGTACGTCTGTAGATCGAGGGAACATGAAATGTTGATGTTCTGTAGAGTGTCCGTTTTCCTTTTCAAAACTAAGGTCAAAGTGACAGGGTATCCTAGCTCCACTGAATTCTGGAGGACGTAGATCTTCAAGCTGTGGGATGATGGATGGTTGGGCTTCTCCTCATCAGGGCGCTTACCAGAGGCCTTTTCCATGGCCTTCCTCTCCTCTGGGGAGCCTGCAAAGACACAGAATGTTTCCTGAGGACACCTCTCTAAGGGCCAACCAAATCTGTGAGCACACCGTTAGGGTCTGAGAGAGCTTCCCCTTGTCCTGCTTGGACTTGTCACCTGACACAAGCAAGGGGGGACTTCAACGGGGAAAACGCCTCCATTTCATTGGCCCACAGACAGGTCTGGGAGGCATTTTCTTAATTAATGACTAATTCAGAAAGGCCTATTCTGCGGTGGGTCTGGGGAAACAGGCCTGGGTTGTATAAGAAAAGTTGGGCAAGCCCGTAAGCAGTGTCTCCCTCCACGTGCACCCACGCCCCCCCCCCTTCAGTCCCTGCCTTGCCTTCCCTCTGCTCACTGTTACACAGAGTGTGTAAACCAAATAAACCCTTTCCTTTCTAAGTTGCTTTTCACTATGACCTTTATCACAGCAATAGAAACCAAACTAAAACAGAACTATGTGCCAGGACCAGGATATTACTGTGACAGACATGACCATGTTGTTTGGGGGAGGTTATGGGAGGCCTTTGGAACTTTGGTTTGGGAAAGCTGTTGAATGTTCAGAGCTCAGTAGGCTATTCTGTGGGAGCTTTGAAACTAAAAATGTTAATTAAAAAAAAAAAATGTTGAGAGCAACGGAGACAATGGAATCCTGCCTTGAGTTTCATAGGAATCTTGAAAGTCCCTTAAAGAATCTATCAGAGCCATCTGCATGATCCATTTGAATTAAGACTCTGTGGTATCTGGCGAGCTGGGGGAAAATGCAGGCAGATCTCTTGAAGGCCGGTCTGGTTTGCATAGGAAATTCTAGCTCAGCCAGAGCTAAACAGTATGTCTCTCTCTCTCTCTCTCTCTCTCTCTCACACACACACACACACACACACACACACACACACACACTCACACAGCTGATAATCACAAACCCAGCACCTCTATAGTGAAACCTTTATGAGATAATTGGTTACTGGTCAGCTGTGGCTGAGATACCAGATGTGATTAAGAGCATTGCTAGGCGGTGTTGGCGCACGCCTTTAATCCCAGCACTCGGGAGGCAGAGGCAGGCAGATCTCAGTGAATTTGAGACTGACCAGCCTGGTCTACAAGAGCTAGTTCCAGGACAGCCTCCAAAGCCACAGAGAAACCCTGTCTAGAAAAGCGAGAGAGAGAGAAAGAGAGAGAGAGAGAGAGGAGAGCAGCATCACTGAGGAGAAATCTGGGAGTTTTCCTCATTGTCAGCACACAGAAACTGTAGTTCAGAAAGGGTCAGAGCAGCATCTCATGCTAGCAGCCGACCTTGGTAGTGTAAGGTTCCCAGGTGGTACCAGGTTTCGAAGGCATGAAGATGTCACGGATATCAGCTGAAGCTGGGGCCCTGTGAGAAGCCAGGAGAGGCCATGGCGAAGGCACAGCATGGAGACCTCATGGTCCAGAGGACCATGAGTAGGTTTCAGATGTAAAGCACTGAATGTTTTACACTCAATGTTTAATTTTTAGTTTGATTTGACTTGATTGCAACTATGCTCTGGATCTTCCCTCTTGGAATAAGAAATATGTGACTTATTTTTGATTTTACAGGAACCCACAGTTAAAAGACTTTGGATATCTTAAAGAGACTGGGACTTTTAAAAGTTGGGGTGTTTTTATGCTGTGATGTTGGTATTAACATCAGATCTTGGGGATTAGCAAGATGGGAAAGGGTGTTGTTAATAGTGTTGCATTTTTGTGTCAAGTTGGCAAGGAGTCAGTTGTTCTGGTTAGATAGATATCTTTGTAAACTTGACACAAGGCAGGCTCATCTGGGAAGAGAGAACTTCAATGGAGAAAATACCTCCACTCGATCAGCCCCTTAGGCAAATCTGTGAGTCATTTTCTTAATAAATGGTCAATGTGGGAGGGCCTATCCCACTAGGCACCTGCCACCCCTAGGCAGATGGGTACCGTGCTGTATAAGGAAGCAGGTGGGACAAGCCAGTCAGCAGTGTTCCTCGGTGGCTCTGCACACGGCTCCTCCAGCTCCGGCTGGCTTCCCTCAGTGGATTGTGACTTGGGATGCGTAAGCCAGATAAACCCTTTTCTTTCCAAGTTGCTTTTCAGCATGGTCTTTATCACAGCAATGAGAACCAAACTGAGACATGCATTGAATGGGACTGTGGAGGCCTCTCAGGACCTAAGGATTCACACTGAGAATCACCCAAGCCCCAGAGCTAGGAGCTTGCCTTAAGTGGGGATGGAAAGACCAGAACATAAAAGCTTGCAAAGAGTGACTCCACCTTCAACCTGCCTAAGGGTCACAGTAACACCCTAAGCCAGGCATGGTGACTCATACCTTTAATCCCGGCACTTAGAAACCCGAGACTGGAGACTTACCATGACTTCAAGGCCAGTCTGCACTACAGAGTTTCAGACCATCTTTTAAAAAAGAGACCTTATCTCAAAATCAGGAAGAGAAGCAGGAGGAACTCATGAGGTAATGCCATTGTCTCCTGTCCTCCCAGGCCCTCAGTCACCTGGAAATCTGACAGTTAAGTCAGAAGCCTCCTTATCTGGTGTATGTGGCTGTGACCCTTAACCACGACCTCACCACAACAGCTTTGCTGCCCTCTGACTGCCGTGACATGACATGATGGCACCCTGGAAATGTCTATTCAAAGAGCGCTCACCTTTCCTTGACAGACTCAGCTTAACAAACAGCGTCTTTCCTGGTGCGTTTGAAAGACAATTTTAAAAAACCACCTGAAGAGAAAGCCAGGGAAAAACAATAACAAAGCAAGCTTTGAACTCCCGTCATGAGGCTCTGTACAGGTAGGCTAGAGAACCAAGTGTCTTCCTGAACCGCGCGAGGCAAGTTTACTTACTCATCCCAGGCAATTGAGGCCACTGCACACCATCCCCAGCTGCCCGCGAGGCAAGAGGAAAAAGAATTCAGAGGCTACCCATGATGAATACAGAATGCACAGAGGTGCTTCGGGGACAGCAAACAGGCTCTGGTCTCCAGACGGCCACAGGGGGTCCTCCATGCTAATAGCTTTCCACAACACACACAGGGAAAACCAACCCCTGCAGAAGCCTGACTTGGAACTTACTAGAGAAAAGTTTAAGTTCTGGATTTTAAATATTGTTAGTGTTCAGGCAGCTGCACTGGCCTGTCCTTGGGGTTCTGACAGGACGCGCCCTCAGCTGCAGCCACTAAGAGCACCACCTGTGCACATTCACAACGTTCCCTTTAACAGGGCCCCTGCCCACCTCCCACCTTCTTTCTCTCCTTCCCTGTCTGTCTGTCTGTCTGTCTCTCTTCCTCCTTTTCTTCTCTCCTGCTGCTCCTGTCTCCAGAGGCAGGTCTTCCTTCCCCTCCCTCTCCCCCTCCCCCTTTTTATGATCCCTTTCCCTAATAAAAACCTCTCTGCTTGAACCCTGCTGCATGGCATCTTTCCCTCACACGCCGCTTTTCTTAAATTACAACCAATATACTAAGGGGCTGGTGAGATGGACCCCTTTGTTGTGTAAAGTTTTACTCTTGGCCTTTTTGAGGGGCCTGCCACCCAGCTTCCAGATAAATCACACACGAAGCCACGGTTATAAATGCCCGGCCTTAGCTTGTCTTGTTTATTGCCAGCTTTTCTTATCTTAAATTACCCTGACTACCTTTGCCTCTGGGCTTTTTCCTCTTCTGCATGTCTTTTACTCTCTCTCTGGCCAGCCTCCTCCCCTTCTTAACTCATTGCTCTCTCTATTTTCCCCTTGTTTCTCCTATTTATCCTCGCTGCCTTGCCAGCCCCACCCCCTGTTCCTGCCTCGCTATTGGCCATGCGGCTCTTTATTAGACCATCAGGTGTTTTAGACAGGCAGAGAATCACAGCTTCACGGAGTTAAGCAAATGTGGTGTAAGCAAAAGTCATATTCCTTGAAATAATATCTCCCCCACTAATTAATAATAATAATAATAATAATAAGCATTCCCCAACAGTCCTTACTCCAAGTTTGGTGACCTGAGTTGAAGCCACAGGACCCACATGGTGGAATGTCCCCTGACGTCCACATGCACACTGTGTTATACTCGCACATGCGGACATGCACAAAAATTAATGTAAAGCCGTCGCAGATATATTCAAGGGACTGAAAGGACAGAGAAGGCAGTAGCTCACCAAACAGGGGCTAGTGATAAAGAACTTGAATAAAACAGCTTTTAGAGCCTGCACATGAAACCACCATAAGCTCTGAGGTTAGGGTAATTGAAATGATCCAGTCTTCAAGGAAGAAGGAAACATTACATGCAAAAGTAACAGTACACTGAGCTTTCTCTCCCTCCCTGAGGCACCCTGCACCCTGACACGTTTTCTTTCTTAAATCTCCTACTGGGTCAATGAGGTGGTTCAGAGAGTAAAGGCGCTTGCAACCACGCCTGACAAGCTGTTTACAGAGGGCAGATGCTATCCTGGTTCCACCAGAGCAGGGACAGACAGGAAGGCCTGGCTTCCTGGAGAAGACTCCTCCGTCTTCTCACACTACATGGAGCAACTCCTGCCTTCTTTACAAGACCACCCTCCTCCCCCTCCCTTCCCCTCCCCCATCCTGGGCTGGCCTTGATGATAGCACTGCGCTACCCTCTTCATTGCTGGGACAATGGCATGTGTTTCCATGGTGCTGGAGATCGAATCTGGGACTCCTATTACTAAACACACTACCATCTGAGCCACATCTCCAGCCAGCAAAGAATCAGGGCTGGAAAAAGGAAGCCCTAAACATGGGGGCTGCTCACAGGTGTGGTGCATGCCTTGGGTGTGGTGAGTGTCTTGCTGCCTACCAGTACCCTAGCACCACAACACAGGCAGAGAGGACCTACGTGAGCAGAGTGAGGCCAGATACAGGAGTACCCGCCGTCTCGGAGGACGGCAACACCAGGACAAGCCCTGCAGCCATCTCTTCTGCTTGCCTCCCTTGGGGACAGTCTGTGCTCTAGGAAACATTACCATATCTGGGCCTCTTCCTGGAGACCACCCATACCCACTGTTGGTGGCTAAGGAACAGACATTGCATATTCAGCATCAGATGCCCCACGGTGCACAGGCTGTAATTCTCCAGGCAGCCTGGCTTGGTGGGATCTGGGCAGAATTCCTGCACAGTGGGGTGTGGCAGACCCGATAAAACCTTGCATACAACCTCGTGTGTCAAAGCCTGACCTGGGCCTGGGATGTGGTTCTGGCAGAGTACTTGTCTATTGTGCAAAAAAACCCTGGTTCCCAGTTCCAGTAGGCAGCTCTATGTGGGTTCAAGGCTAGCCATGACTACATAGTGAGACTGTCTCAAAAAAAAAAAAAAATCCTAACCCAGCCACTTTTAAGCTGGGTGAGTCTACGCCTATTTTAAAAAAAAAAAAACAAAAAACATTTTATGAACTCCATGTTTGCTTCCTAAAGTGCCTGGAGCATTGCAGAACCCTGCAAGGTCACAGGAGCTGGGGATGCCATATATTTATTTAGACCCTGGTATATGCTGAACGCCCAGGCAATCTGCAGTCACCTTTTATTCTGAATAGGGCATCACAGTGTAATCAAGACTGGCTTCAAACTTAAAGCAGTTCCCCTACCCTAACCTGCAGACATGTGCCACCACGCCTGGCTACATCTCGCCCTGGAGTGGACAGACTGCGTGTCGTGCCCTGCCAGCCCCCAGGCAGGACACAGTCACGCTCCTCTCACACTGCTTGGGATGCTGCCAAAGAGCAAGTGGTTGGGTAGTTGTGACAGGGACCCCATGGCTGACCACACCTTAGATTTCTACCATTAGGTCCTTTGGGCCCCAGATCTGTTGTCCGCCAAGGCTCAGGACCAGAACCCTGGTTTTGGGCCAGCCTGTAGTGCCAGAAGCCCTGCACAGCTACCTTCTGGGAACTTGTACTGCAAGGTGATGTCTTCCCGTTTGTTCTCGCCCACCATCTTGGTGCTGATATTCTTGCCAATACTCGCAGTCTCCACGGCGATAAGGATGTTCTTCTCCTTGCCCTGGTTTGGCTTCACCAGCCAGATGAACTTGTCACCATTGACCTCAGTGAAGACAAACTTGGTGTCATACTGGATTTGGACCTCTCCCTGGCGGATAGCACTCAGTGGAGAAGGCCCAGTGCGGAATCGGCCTGAAGGGAAGAGAGAGAACGTGGCTGCTGAGCTTTCCTGGCCTCGTCCTGCCTCGCATCCCTTAAGTAAGAAATCCCACTCAGACAGGGAGGACACATGGCAGCTTAGAGTTGAAATGTCCGGGAATCTCAAGCCCAGAAGTAAGGAGCCATGCCCCCTTCCCATTCATTCCAGCGCATTGCCAAACATTGGTTTGGTTTTGCACACTCTTGTACTCTCAACGCTGACTGGGATTGCCATTTCCTTTGCTCTCCTTGACCTTCAGTACACACAACTCTTCGCCTCACCCCTCAAAAGCAGCCAGCTCTGCGATCCAGTGTCTTGGGGCTAAGACTCAGAATAGGGCTGCTAATCTAACACTTACGCTGTTTCTGACATGGCAGAGGGCACCCCACTGTCTGTCCCCACCTTATCCACACCGCGAATGGGTAGGTGGGCTTCTTCTACCTCCCAGGTAGATGGTGACTGTGGCCTCTGTGCAGCCCAGATGCAAGGCTCCTGTCCCCACCTGGGCAGACACTACGGGGGACCCCAGAGAGATGACCCTATGCTGAGCATCTTTCAGCACAAGGAGGTGTAGCGAGCTCCTCCCCACCCCACCTCCACCCCCAACCCCCTGGGGGAGATGAGAACTGCAGATCTCTGGAGAACCCATGAGGAAGTGTGATGCTGTGATTCTGCCTTAGGAAGCCTTTGGGACAAAACTGGTTGGAAAAATTAAATTGTACTTTTGCCTTTGGGGACTGTGTTTCCTGCGTTGGGTGAACCTCCTTTATCCACACTGTTAACCCTGGAAAGGCTAAAGATGTCCACTGCAAGGGTGCCTGTGTCCTGCGGAAGTCGGGGTTCCCTAGGATTCCAGAATGGAGGGGCCAGGTTGTTGGGAGCCTGGGGCGACCTGGTTAGAGAAGTTTTTCTACAGAATGTGGCTTCACACAAAAGTTCAATGCCTGATCTTATCTCAGGTGTTTCCATTTACTGGGAAAGTTATTTTGTTTGTTTTTGCCTTGTTCTGCTTTTTGAGACGAACTCACAAGTTAGCTGAGGACAGCTTGAAACTCCTGATTTTTTTTTTTTTCCCCTTCTCTTGAGTGATAGGATTATTGTGCCACCCCAACTAGGCTTGTTAGGAATGGTATCTAAGGGCTAGAGAGATGGCTCAGTGGGTAAGAGCACTGACTGCTCTTCCAAAGGACCGGGGTTCAATTCCCAGCACCCACATGGTAGCTCACAACTGCCAGTAACTCCAGTTACAGGGGATCAGACACCTTCATACAGACATGCAGGCAAACCCCAAAGTACAATAAATAAGTTGTCTTGGAAGGAAGGAGGGAGGGAGGGGGAGAAGGGAGGGAGGGAGGGGAAAAAGGGAGGGAGGGAGGAAGGAAGAAATGGTAGCTGACCAATGCAAATTCTGTACCAAAATTGAAGTTTCTGCTAATGTTTGTTCACCGATTTTTATCACAGATTAGGCTCATTTCTAACAAAAGGAGAGAACCCCAACTTAAAATGGGCCAGGGGCCCATCCCCATATGAAGGAACAGGCGGCTGGGGGTGGGGGCAGTGCCGGGTCACAGCCAGCACTAAGTCTTGGTCCGACATTGAGTCCCCGCCCTTATCGGGACAGCTATTCAAAAAGGACTAGACTGACACGTGCACATACGAGATAATTCTGGAAGCAACTTTGCCGTGTAAATCTCCCATCCACCTATGCAGCCAGATTTGAAGTCTCTCTGTTTCGGTTGCTCAAAGTGTGACCTTGGGCTCTGTGGATCAACTGCCCAGAGACCCATGGCGGAAAACCCTGTTCACTTCACCCACCCACCCCACCCCCAGCCTGGATTCGCAAAATGCCGGTAATGACTAAACTTGCTTTGAAAGATTAGCTGTGGTCTAGTAGCCGACGACACTCCCTATGCCTGGCAGCCTTAATCCAGCCCCCTCGTACCCATGTGACTCTCACAAGTTGTCTCCCATGCACTGTAGTTCATGTGTGTGTACCCGCAAACTAGTAAGTAGAGGTAATTGAAAAGCTTTTGAAAAGGTGAGGTATGAGCTGTGCGTCCGGTAAGCACCTGCACTTGCTGTCATCCCTATTTATGTGACTGTCCCTCGTGTCCTCTTCATGAGGCCTTGCTCAGGGTGACCGCCAAAGACACACAGACCAGTCAGAAAGGCAGCCCAGACTTGTGGTCTCAACCCCAAGCTCCTCCTGTGCCCTGTACAAACTCACCCTCACTGATTTCCTGTGGTGTAGCATCCAGGACCTGCCAGCCATCATAGCCCTGGGGCAGATCCTGTCTTTTCATCCAGGCATCTGTCCACACATGGAAATTCCTGTGGCAGTGGAAACATTCCCATCAGAGCCAGCCATGCATTTAGAGAGCCTGTCATCACGCTCTCTAAGGTTCTGAAGAGGGGCCTCTGTCAGCAAAGGCAAGGACAGTGTGGAGTGTTGTGTAGAAAGCAGAGCTCGGAGCAGATGGGCAGTGAGGGAGAACTTCCTGTGGCCCAAAGATACTAGATACTACCTATGCTGAATGAATGAATGAATGAATGAATGAGTGAATGAATGAATGAATAAGCAAAAAACTGTACATCCTTTCCCCACTCAAAGGGGTTCTGATTTTATTGATGAATAATTTTGTAGCTGGAGAGTATTCCAAATTCTTTGTTTTGTTTCGTTTTGGTTTGGTTTCACGACAGGGTTTCTCTGTGTAGCCCTGACTGTCCTGGCTGGCACTTGCTCTGTAGACCAGGCTGGCCTTCGAGTCAAAGATCCACCTGCCTCTGCCTCCCCAGTGCTGGGATCAAAGGCGTGTGCCAACACCGTCAAGCTGTTCTTGCTATCTTTTAAAGACAGTTGCACCATCTGGACTGGTTAACCGACCGTGGTGTCTCCAACATATGGTGCCAGAATGAAAGCCATGACCCCTCCCTAAAATTCCCTGCACTTTTAGCCTGCAAGGACAGGAGACAATGCCTCTGTGGACTGTGGGTGACAGTTATATCAGAGGGTGGCACACAGCCACAGTCTGTCTCAGTCCCAGGCCAGGGGCCAGGAGTCAAGGCCAGTTCTTGGTCTTTGCCTCCATGGGGGCAAAGGTTGCAGCCCAGGGATCTTTATGCTTCACAAGCCTTCCCAGCTGTCTGGGTCACACAGTAAGGTTGGCTCTGCAAAGCCGATTTCTGAAGCTGACACTGCTCACAGCTTGAGCCAGTCTACAGAGGCTGCAAAGCCCACAGGTAGAAGAGAAGAGGGACCCTGACTAGCCAGGAAGGAGCTTACCTGTAGCTGGAGCTTCTTTCCAGCCTGGTCCCACCGCTTCAGCCCCAAATGTGCACACAGATGCTATATTAATTATAAAACTATCGGCTGATGACTAGGGCTTTTTATTGGCTAGTCCTGTCTTAATTATTAACCCATTTCTCTAAATCTATGTATTTCCGTGTGGTCTTGGCTTACTGGAGAATTCCCAGACCTACTACTCCTTTGTGGTCTACATGGCGTGCTTTGCGGCGCCTCTCTGCCTACCTTTCCCAGAATTCTCCTGGTCTCCTAGCCCCGCCTATCTTCCTGCCTCTACTTGCTATAAGCCAAACAGTGTTTTATTCATCAACCAATAAGAAAAACGAAGGACAATTCCCCCATCACTTACCAGATGGAGTCTTTGGTCAGATCTGTAATTGTCTTGCCTGAATCATCCAGGTAGATGTCTACTGTGAGATTCTTTCCTGTGTCGTGGGCTGACTCAAAGTTAGTCACACTTCGAGCTGGAATGCCCACAGCCCTCAGTGCTGAAATAACCCCAGAGAGGATGGTTAGCTTCTGTGGAGGCCGAGTGGCCCCTGCCCCAACTGCAGCCTACCTGTGGTCAGGATTCCAGAGAAAACCCAGCACTGGCCAAAGCATACGGGCAACTTGGTGGCGTAGTGCTGCTGGAGGATGGGCACACTGCTGGTCCACACATACGGGGCTGTACCACTTCTGTAGTCCCCTGACCAATTCCCCATCAGCACACCATTGTTCACGGAGCACATCTGATGCGGGACAGAGCGGGGATTAGCATCTGTGCTCTCCCTGGACCCTACAGTTTGTTCAGGACAGGCAGTGCAAATCAGAAGGAACAAGGGAATGCACACTTGTTTTAAGACTAGCCTTGGCTGCATAGGGAGACTCATTCTCTCCTTGCTGTACTCCCCCAGAGAAACCATCACTCACTGAGGAAGAGTAAGATGTCAGAGAAGAGTATCTGTCATTGTCTGGAAAGGCTGTGCCTATATGCCCATGTGAGACAGACTGTGATGAGCAAAATGATGTAACAAGGTCCCTCGATGTATGCAAACTGCAGCCGATATCTATTAAGCCAGTGCAAGCCACTCTACTATCTTCACCACATATTTTATACTTCAGAAACACATTGTGTTAACATGTAGATTTATTATTATTCTCTTAGAAGGAAACAGATTTATTGCATGTGTGTGTGGGGGGGGGGTTGCCTACAGAGGTCGGGATCTCTCCAGATCTGCAGTTCCAGGACTTCAGATGTGGGTTCTGGGAACCAAATGTGTGCCCTCTTCAAGAACAGAGAGTACTCCTAACTACTGGGCCATCCATCCTGCCCCCCCCCATTTCTCTCTCTTTTTTTTTTTTTTTTTAGTCAAAAATCTCAGTGTGTAGCCCAGGCTTGCATGAAACTTCCAGCAATCCTCCTGCCTCAATACCCTGAGTTTTGAGATTACAGGTATGAACTATCATACCCAGCTAAAAGAATATGTTTAGACTTCTGAGAGTTTTTTTTTTTCTTTTTTTTCTTTTTACTGTGTTGGGCTCCATTTGTTGGCTGGTTGGTTGACTTGTTACTTTTTATTTTGAGAAACAGTCTTGTACTGTTACCCAGGCTGCCATTACAATTGAACCCTCCTGTCTCAGTCTCCTGAGTAGCTGGATTACAAGACTATGCCATAAAGTCCCATTAAACTCTGGGCATCTTAAATCCTAGCAGGAAAACCAGGCCCAGCACCTTACCGAACACCTTCTTCTGGACCCTGGAGTGAAGGACAACTAACATGACGACCTGTCACCTGAGCATCTGGTAGTGCAAGGGAACTGATTGTCCCAGGCTCTATCCCGTCTGCCAATAGAGCCTACTTAAGTTGCTGTCAATCTGGACCCTGTACTGGTCTTCACCCAATAGCTTTCACTGTTCCACACTTCATTTCTACAGCCTTACGTGACCCCCAGGCTTGGCTCAATGCTGTAATCCCACAGCTTCACTCTGCAGTACTTTCCAGTAGATCTTCAGCAGGATTGGAGCTCTCTCTTCTCTCTCTGTCTCTCTCTCTCTCTCTCTCTTTATCTGTCTCTGTCTCTCTGTCTCTCTCTGTCTCTCTCTCTCCCTCTCTCTGTCTGTCTCTGTCTCTCTCTGCCTCTGTCTCTCTGCCTCTCTCCCTCTTTCTCTCCCTCTTTCTCTGTCTCTCTCCTTCTTTCTCTGTCTCTCTCTGTCTCTGTCTCTCTCCCTCTTTCTCTGTCTCTCTCTGTCTGTCTCTGTCTCTCTCTGTCTCTCTCCCTCTTTCTCTGTCTCTGTCTCTGTGTCTCTGTGTCTCTCTGTCTCTCTCTCTCTCTCTCACACACACACACACACACACACACACACACACACACGAGATCCCTTCCCCTAGCAGTTTCTTTTGCCTCTCAGTTCTCTTGGAACTGCAGCTTCTTTGACGCTTTTTGTGGCCATTGTATAACTTACATCTGTACATACGTACATTCACACATACATACATGTAGCTATATTTAATATGTGATGTGTAATCCGAGAGTGAATATTAGTAAGACTGAAATAAAAGAACCTATGTTTGCCTTGGCTGGCACTTATGACATTGTTTATCCCAGCTGCAGCCAGGTTTACAGGGAGGGAGAGGACCTTGAATACTTTTACACCATCTCGTGGACTGGAAAAGGCCGTTTTCCTAAGGTCAACTTAGAAGTGGCAAAGTTGGCCTTCTGAACTCAGACTGGAGCACCTGTGCTCAGAAGGACAATGGCAGACTTACGTCCCCTGATGGTTTTGACTGCTCAGCCACGGTTCCCTGTGAGCTTCATGGAGAGCAGCTTACTGTATGCAGGGAAACCTAAATGGGCTGAGCAGGTGTGGATGGACTACAACAGCATTTTACTCTGTAGATCTGGCCCTCTCCACATACCATAGTGCAAATGGTCCTGGACACAAACACCGGGCTCTGCCGTTCGTGGGGCTCCAGCTGGGCCAACAGGGACATGCTGCAATTCAGAACATTCTTCTCAAACTGTCATGGAGAGGGAGAAAGAGGAATCAAGATTCTGCTCTGTGTCAGACACTTATCCCATCCCATCTAATCTGCGTTGCCTTGAAGGATAACTCATCTCCCAAGTGAGGGAGTCTGCCCACAGTCTCCCAAAGACCCTCTACATTCCACAGTAGAAGCCACTAAACAGCCAGGCACAAGACGACAGTTAAGCACATCCAAAGTCTCACAGGGCACAACTATTGAAAAGACAGACGGGGCTAGGGAGGTGGCTCAGTGGGTGAAATGCACACATGTATAAGGAAGTATACAGCAAGGCTTTAGTTCCACGAGGGAAATGCCATAGTTATCAAGTTAAGTAGACAAACAAGCTGCCAAGCTGTGTATAAGAAATGTTATCTCAACTTCGTTAGTATTAGTAATAAAAAGTGAATGGTGGGTGGGGTGGGAAGTTGGTGAAGAGCACTCGTCGCTCTTGCAGAGGACCTGGGTTCAGTTCCCAGCACCCACATGGTGGCTCACATCCAGTTCCAGGAGATCCCTTTTCCGGCCTCCACAGGTGCCAGGCAAGCACACGGCACACAGACATACACACAGGCAAACCACACACACACAAGACAAATAAATACATTGAAAATAAAGAACAGGCTAGGCAGGTTGGTTTACTGGGTTCTCAGGCTCCACACCATGGAAAGAGAGAGCTGACTCTTAAGAGTGGTCCTGACCTGCACCCGAGCACCATGGGATGTATGCATGTAGGGCAAAAGGTTCCAGGTTTGAAAACTTACCAAAACCCACCAATCCCCACCGTAGAAATCTCCACCCTGGAAAACCCCACCTCCCCCCAAAAAACCCCATATAAGCCTGTCTCCTTCTCAGTCCCCTGCTGATTTTCACCTGAGCAGAGATGTCTCTTGTATCTGCGGTTTGACTTTGTGTATCCAGTGGCTCCTGACTGCCAGGATACTTTTGCCTTCAGAGCTGTGTAACACTTGCACTGGGAAACCTTCCCCTCCCCACCCCCATCCCGCCACCCCCAGAGCTGTAACACCTTCCATTGGAGGAAACCTCCCCCCCCCAGAGCTGTAACTCCTTCCCTGGGGAAGCCTTTTCCTCCTCAGGGCTGTAATACTGACAGTGCAACCATACACAATACATGTAAAACAAATGCTTAAAGGAATGAATACTCTACCCTATGGAGTCATCACCAAGCAAAACTGACACTTTGTTTTCTGTACTATAGTTTCTTTTTCTTTTTTTTTTTTTTGTTCTTATCCCCCCCCTCCCCACTTGCCCACTGTTTGTTGTAGGTCTTTTTGGTTTTTGCTGTAGCCTTGGCTGTCCTGGAACTTAGTATACGACAGGCTGGTTCCATTCTCTGCTTCCCGAGTGCTGGCATTAAAGGCTGGGGCCACTATACCCTGTTGACATTGATGCACTGAGACAGTATCTTCCCACTTGCCCTACACAGGCATCAGATCCACCCTCTCCTGCGTTTACATCACAGGCGTGTGCCACTAAGCATGGCCCGTGTGTTTACTACGTGTTTTGTGGACCAGGGCCTCACCCAAGCTAGGCTGGCGGTATCCAGCTCAGTTCGGGCCTGAGTTAGTTTTTCATCCTGTTTAAGCAGTTTTACTTCGATGCAGTGAACACCCACGAGGTTTGTCCATGGAAGAAGGGGAGAAAGGAGCAAACGGCAGCAATGGCTCAGAAAGCGGCAGCGTTTGCAGCCATCTCCTGAGAGGAGCGACTCACCCAGGATTCCAGCAAGGTCTCCCAGGAGCTCCATCCCGGCCGCCCCCCCCCACCTTGCTCCACAGCCGTTTTGTTTAGTAACCCCTAAGAAAAAAGCATGCATGGTGCAGCCAGAAGAACACAGTCCATTACCTGACCAAAGGTCCAGGGCTTCTCTTTAATTTGTTTGGCGAAACCCATGTAAATGTAGCCAGTGTCATTAAGGATGTACTCTGCCCGATCCTCCTCGCTAGGCATGTACACGGTGTCATCTGGAGCAAGGCCACACAGATGTGGGTTATTGACTAACCCTGAGGTAGAGGCAGGTACACCACGGGGTTGGGGCAACGAATGTTGGGGGAATGGGCACAGGGAACAGGAAGGGTGACAGCGATACATTATGCATCGGAAATAAAAACAGCCAGAGGCAGTGGCTCAAGTCTTTGACACCAGCACTTGGGAGGTAGAGGCAGGTGGATCTCTATGAGTTTGAGGCCAGCTGGTCTGTATTGAGAGTTCTAGGATAGCCAGGGCTACATAGAGACACTTTATCTCAAAAACAAAAACAAAAAACAAAGAACTTCCAAAAGGGCATCTTGAGCCAGGTGTAAGGCTCTTTTAACTAGAAAAATGTGTGGGAATTTGAACATACGGAAAATTATGATGAAGAATTAATAAATTAAAAGAAGAGAATCCATAAGTTCACAAAGGGATGGATAGATAGATGGATGGATGGATGGTAGAAAGATGAAGAGAGGGATAGATGGGTATGAGGGGATGTAGGTGTTTGTGGATAGAGAGATGTGGACTAATGGATATGTGTGGATGCAAATCATGGATGGATGGTTGGATTAATGTGGATTGGGAGGGAGCTCTTGAAGGCAGAGAATGCCAGGGCTCATCTGCTAAGATTAGATAGAGGGCTGGAGCTGGAAAATCTGCAGGACATCCCACCGAAGACTGCTTGGATCAGCAAAATTCAGAAGTGGGGGGGGTTCTGATGAGGATACATATCTGCATGGCTGTAAAGTGTTTCCACATAAGCTGCTTACTAGATACGAAAAGAAACATCACTTGGACAGTACCTAGATCAAATGATGCAAGTTTAATGTTTCCCAGTTAAGGGACAAGGGCATATGGTATGCGTCCAGGTGATTTTCAACATACTTCACATAATATTCCAGCCAGGAGCACGTGGCTCGAATCTAAGAATGATGAATCACCAGACAAATCATAAAAATTAAAGGGGAGGAGAGTGTTCTCCTAGAGCATCGGTTCTCAGCCTTCTCCTGCAACCCTTTAATAGAGTTCCTCATGTTGTGCTGACCCTAAAGGTGCTACATCACAACTATAATTCCGCTGCTGTTATGAATCATAATGTAAATATCTGACCCCTCAGAGAGGTCATGACCCACAGGTGGAGAACCACTGACCTAGAACATCAGAGTCAAGAAGGACTAGGGTAGGCGTGTGGAAATTAAAACAAACAAGCAAAAAGGTCTACAGAGCAAGTGTGAGAAAAATCAGAGCAGAGCCTTTCTGAGGTTTCTCTCCTCCAGGGTTTCTGGAACAAAGCTGATGGATTTTTAGAAAGGAGGATCCAGTTGGCTGGATAGGGAAATAAAATGTGTGCGTCTGGAGGGAAGTTGGGGGGGGGACAAATATAATCAAAACAGTTTGTACAAAGCTCCGAAAAAACTACTAAAATGAGGAAAATAAAATGAACATTTTTTCAAATAAATAATGAGTGACGTTTGTATAGAGGCTCAATCAAGGGTAGCCAGGAAGAGGGGTGACCTGAGTAGAAGAGCCAAGCGGGAAGATGAGAGGAAACAAGCCTTCACGGGCTTGGCCACAGAGGGTCTTCCAGGCACGCACTGTGCCTGGGCCGAGTCCTCTAGCTGGGTTGAGAATGGCCCAGGGACTCAGTACCACCTGGGAGCAGGCATGGCCACACAAGGCATGGGAGTGGAGAGGTACACTCCACAGCAGAGCTGAATTCTGAGTTACCTGCACACCACGGATTGAAGAGAAGGAAGAATGTTCCGGCGTCATACTCATTCACGTGCACCCTGTACTGCCCCACTACGGCGTCAGCAGCACTGATGACAGTCAGTGAAACCTGCATGAAACACAAGACATGGTGGACACACTCTTCCCTGGCTCAGCTCCGAATCCTGTGAAGGAAGCCTCCCAGGACAATCAACAGACCGGGACAAACCATCCTCTCCAGCTCTCCAGGGTAGGCACAGTGTCCAGGGGTGTCCCACCGGGAAAAGATGAAACCCACGAGGCAGGGAGGCTTAGAAAGTCTCCCAGATCTCCCCCCCCACCCCCGCATGCAGACGCTGCCGCCCCCACCCAGATTGCGGGCCAGATACGATGGCAGTGATATAAGGATCCTGATCTAGCACCCAGAGCTTCAGAGGCAAAACAAATGTCAGCTCGGGTTCTCTCCAGGGCATGAGAGCTGCTCAGAAGTAGAATGTTTGCCTAGCATGTTGGATACCCGAGATCATATTTCCAGCCTTGTGCTACCACAAGCATCTACAAGGGCTGCCATCCAGTGCTCTAGGGTAGGTAGTGGCTGGGTAGAAAATTAGGACACCTACACGGTTGCACTAAGAATTTTATTTTCCACCATTGCAAACAACCTAGGGTCTTCCAAATCTATGAGATACTTGTTATTTAAAGGTATCTTCTAAGCCGGATGGTGGTGGTGCAGCGCCTTTAATCCCAGCACTAGGGAGGCCGAGGCAGGCGGATCTCTGTGAGTTTGAGGCCAACCTGGTCTACAAAGCAAGTTCCAGGCCAGGCTACAAAGCTACACGGACAAACCCTGTCTGGAAACAAACAAACAAACAAAAAACAGAAAAAGAAAGTGTATCTCCTAGGAGCAATAGCTGCCAATTAAACAGTCAGAAAGAAGGTGAGTGAGTCTCTCGGAAGGCAGAAGATGCCCTCTCTCAACGCACAGTGTCATGTGGCTGCCTTGATGAAGGGCTGTTCCATGAGAAAGTATTCCTGAGCGCCCACAGTACAGTTGAGACAACAGTCCCAGTCCCCAGTAATCAGCTAGCAGAACTCTGAGCTAGTAAGGAAGACCTTTCCTGTGTGTCCCAGCTCAGATTGGAACCCTCGCCATCATATTACCAAGCAACACAGGAAGCCAACCTTCCAAGGTATAGGTAATGTCAGACACCCAGACTTGTATAGGGTCCTACATACGTGTTCACATGTTTAAAAAAAAAAAAAAACAGGCTGAAGAGATGATGGCTCATTGGTTAAAGACCCAAGTTCAATTCCCAGCACCTATGTCAGGCAGCTCACAACTGCCTTTAATTCCAACTATAGGGGACCCAGTGCCTTGGGCACCTGACTCATGCAGACATACCATAGACACACAGGTACACACACACACACCACAGACACACACCACACACACACACACCACAGACACACAGACACACATACACACCACAGACACACAGATACACACCACAGACACACAGATACACACACACACACCACACACACACACCACAGACACACAGACACACACACACACACCACAGACACACACACACACACCACAGACACAGACACACACACACACACACCGCAGACACACAGATACACATACATACACACACATACACACACACACACCGCAGACACACAGATACACATACATACACACACACACACAGATACACACACACACCACAGACACACACACACACCACAGACACACACACACCACACACACACACACACACACCACAGACACACACACACACCACAGACACACACACACACACACACCACAGACACACCGCAGACACACAGATACACATACATACACACACACTCACACACACAGACACATAGATACACACACCACAGACACACACACCACAGACACACACACACCGCAGACACACAGATTCACACACACACACACCGCAGACACACATATACATACACACACACCACAGACACACAGATACACACACATACCACAGACACACACACACACCACAGACACACAGATACACATACATACACACACACACACACTGCAGACACACATATACATACACACCACAACACACAGATACACACACACACCTATTAAAAGCAAAGAATTATATATTTTTTTCCCATAGGTGCTAAAGATTCACTTCCTTCATGGGTGTTATAAAAACAAACAGTTTTAAACAAAAAATATTAAACAACACCTTTTGAGTGAAGAAATTGAGCCCACCCCCTCTCCCATTTCCCGCTCTGCACATGCCATTCCCACCATCTCCATAACCAAAACTGGTTCCTGGAGGAGACGGAGCCAAAGACCTTCTCCCAGAGAGGCTGTCATGAACCCCTGAAAACACAGCGCACTGCTGCAAAGTGGGGTTAGAGCCCTGGTTCTGGCCAGAGAGGATGGGAGGAAAAGAGGCACATGGGGAGGCTGAAGGCCAGGGCCCGCTCACTCACTTTCCAGCTGCAAATTCTGCTTCCAGAGAACCTGAAGACCATTGACTTGGAATTAACTTAGCAATGGGATCTGTAGGCTACGACCTACGGAAGTAGCCATAACCCAGTTCAGGGATCTAGTTAGGAGGGGGTCTTAGTTGGTAGTGACTTTCCAATGCTGGGAAGACAGACAGCTTCCCGAAGGATGTCAAAGAAGCCATCCCTAGCCCACACACCTGAGCAGGCTGCATGCTGTGCCGGCACCCTAGCCACAGGGAACACTGATGAAGTCATCGGGCTCTGCTAAGAGGCGATGAGAAGGAAAAGGTGCCTTCGTCTGCTTTTGAATTTAAACAAAAAGCCGGGAGGGAAGGATGGACAAGTGCATGTGTAGGAAGAAGTGTGTGTGTGTGTGTGTGTGTGTGTGTGTGTGTGTGTCCCTGTGTTGTTATTCTTTCTAATTTTCCTCTCTGTGCTTCCTCCAGTGAACATAAATGTGGGACAAGGGTTATGCAGCATCTGGCTAGTCAGACTACCGTGCGCTATGGGCAAGCGAGAAGCTGAGCTACCCAGAGCTACGGCCACTGCTGGTAAGCAGCACCGTACACTGGAAAGCAAGGGAGGGATAAACAGGAACCAGGTCGGCCCTCACCTCCTCGCCGGACCGTTTGGCGACTTTCACCTGCCAGCCCTGAGAACGGAAGGATGCCGTCGGATCAAGCTCCACGAAGGTGGGTGGTTTGTCTCCTGGAAGCACCAACAGGGAAGTGAGTGAGTCTTGACCTCAGCCCAAGCGCGGCCATCTTTGCCCACTCACCACGTGGGCGCAGCTCCTTCCTAGTTCCTGGAGTGAAGCCTCTACCTCGGCTGTCTAGGCTGCACTATCTGCCCAAATTAGTCAAGGCTACCCCGCCTCCTTCCTGTGCCCTTGCCTCCTCCAGAGCCCCAGCCTCAACTCTCCCTTGCCTGACACTGTCTGCTTTGCTAAACTCCTTAGCCCTGGCCAGTACAGTTGATACAACGTGCATTAAACTAATGATCTTCCTGCCAAAATGCAGTGTGTGTGTGCGTATGTGCACGCGTGTGCATGTGTGTTTGTGTGTGTGCGCGCGCGCGTGTGTGTGCATGTGTGTGCATGTGTTTGTGTGCGTGTGTGGGTGTGTGTGCATGTTTGTGTGTGTTCAGCATGTGTGGATGCCATAGGTCCACACTGAATGTCTTCCTTAGTCCCCCTCCACCTTGTGTTTTGGAACAAGGTCTCTACTCCATCTGGGATCTCACATATTAGCTAAGTTGGCGTGTCAGTGAGCTCCAGGGATCGGCCTATCTACAGCTCCACCAAATATGTACCAAATGCTTGGCTTTCGTGTGGGTGCTGGGGACCTAAACTCGGGTCCTCGTGCTTGTGTGTGACAGGCACTTTGCCGACTGGACCGTCTCCTTGGGCCCTTAGTGTAGTGCTTTTGATAAATGGTATGGTTTACCTCAAGCCCACAGAGCTACAGTCAGCAAACAGTGCTATGGTTCATCTCTAGAAATGTGCTCCAGATCCCTCTAGAACAGCTGCCTCGCTGCCTGGCCCTCTCTCGCCTCTGATTAGCCAAGGAATAAATACATCAACTGTACCAGAGTGATTACTCCGTTCCCAGTCCATTATTGGCCCAGGGAAACCGAGACTTAGGAAACAAAGTCACTCTTGGCCATTGCACATTGGGCCTTGTGGTCCCACCCTCCGTCCTGCTTCGGGGGGCTGAGGCCTCACCGGTAGCAAATATCAGCTTCAGTTCATCCTGAGGTTGGAGAGACCTATTTAGCGTCACCTTCATGTGGAACATCTGCCCGCGCCTGAGCACGATCTTATCAGTCTGGAACGCCGATGTGTGGTGGGCATCAGCGTTCTCCTTTTTCTCCATGTTCACAGAGAAAATCTTCAGCACTGTTAGCAGGAAGACACAGGGCTGACTCCTAACTCTGATGGTTCAGGTAAGAAAAGAGGGGGCCCGATGGGGATGCCCTTCTGTGTGTATGTTTCTCTTGTTGGTTGATGAATAAAACACTGTGTGGCTAGTGGCCAGGCAGGAAGGATAGGCTGGGCTGCCAGAGGAGGAGAATTCCGGGAAGTGTAGGTAGACAGGGGTCACTATGTAGCTCGCAAAGAAGTAGCAGTTCGGGGCCCTTCTCCGGTAAGCCAAGACCATGTGGAAATTCATAGATTAATAGAAATGGATTAATAATTAAGACAGAGCTAGCCAATAAGAATCCCTAGCCACCGGCCAACAGTACTATAATTAATGTAGCGTCTGTGTGTTCATTTGGGGCAAGCCAGCTGCGGAACCAGTGGGGAATCCCATAACAGGGTCCCCTGTTGTGTCCCTGCAGGCCATGGCAATCTGAGATTTGGTTTCCTAGCCATACAACAGGTGTGTGAATACCGGCCTTACAGGATTGCAGGGGCTTGAGCTGAAAGAGGGAAGTCATAGTCCTGGGAAGTACTTCTACACCCAGTGTACGACCACAACCTGCCCCATCTTGGTAAAATGGTCCATGGATGCTGAAAGGAAGGAGAGGAGCATCCCTTGACCACACCCCGTTCCTGTCAGCACAGCCTGTAGACCAGGCTGGCCTTGAACCCACAGAGATTAACCTGCTTCTGCCTCCCGAGTGCTGGGATGAAAAGGCGTGCGCCACCAACACCTGGTATTTTTTGTTTGTTTTGTTGTTATTTGTTTGTTTTTAATTGTTTGGTTTGAGGTGAGAAAGACCCACCCTAAATGTGGACGGCACCTTCCAGTGACAGACAGATAAAACAGATCTGAGGGCAAACTGCTCGCTTTCAGGCCATGCTGTCAAACTCTGTTGACAATTTCAAGCTGCTGCTGCCACCATTCGGGGCTGATAAGAGAATTCACTCTCGTTGAACTATCTACGTAAGCCGATGTAATAGATACCCTTTTAAAATACATTCATTATATCAGTCCTGTTCCCAGAGAACTCCAGGGTGCACACTACCTAGTTTGCAGTCTGGCCATTTTCCTGAGGATTTATTTCTCCCCTCAACATGCTGGCTGGCCCAGAAAACTACATCTTTTTTCAAGCTGTTGTCTTAATTATAGTTTCTTTTTTCCTTCCTTCCTTCCTGATTTACTTGTTTTTATTTTATGTGCATTGGTCTTTTGCCTGCATGTATATCTGTGTGAAGGGGTTGGATTCCCAGCAACTGGAGTTACAGACAGCTGTGAGCTGCCATGAGGGTGGTGGGGATTGAACCTGAGTCCTCTGGAAGAGCAGCCAGTGCTCCTAACAACTGAACCATCTCTCCAGCCCCACTAGTAGGGTTTCTATTGCTGTGATGAAGCACCATGACCAAAGCAACTTGGGGGAGGAGAGGGTTTATTTGGCTTACATATCCCCAGTCATGTCCACTTAGGGAACCCGAGGCATGAACCTAGCAGGAAACTGGAGGCAGAAGCTGATGCAGAGGCCATGGAGAAATGCTATTTACTGGCTTGCTTCTCATGGCTCGTTCAGCCTGTCTTCTTATAGAACCCGGGACCACCTGACCAGAGGAGGCACCATCCACAATGGACCACCAACCATTAATTAAGAAAATGCCTTACAGGCCTGCCTACAGCCTTATCTGATGGGAATATTTTCTCAGTTATGGTTCCTTCCTCCCAAATGACACTAACCTGTGTCAGGTTGACAGGAACAAGTCGGCACAGTCATCCTGAGTCATTTGCAAAGCACTTCCACAGACCCAAAGGTACACTGCTAACCAGCATATGACTGACTTCAAGCTGAAGCCTCCCTCTCAACAGCATACCCCCTCCCAGCATGCACGGCCTGTGTGTCAAGCCCTGGGCCCTGCTGTATTCCTCCTCTGAGTATGGACAAGCATCCAGCCACCTGGAGAATCGAGGTGGCCTAGGGGCTACGAAGAGCTATGCTTTTCATTCAATGCCACTCAAACTATACCCTTTCAGAGCTCCAGACCCTTGCCTGACCCATGGCTCTACATCTAGAGAGAGGATGCATGATGCTGGATACCGGCTCACAGCGGACGCTAACAGACTTGTGTGGGAAACCTCATGTGGTCAGCGTGAGGGAGGGAGGGAGGGAGGGAGGGAAGGAGGAAAAAGAGGACAGGGATTCTTACTCTTCCAGTTGTTTGAGGAGTCTGAAATTATTGTGTTATCTAAAAGTTTGGCTTTTGTCAATGAATAAGACAGCAAGCCATGCGCTGGGTAGAAGGACCATGGCCCGGGTACCCTTGCCTTGAGACGAGTGGCTGGCTGGGTCCGAGGGCTGGATGGCAGCAGGTGCCCAGAAGTCCAAGACGCCAGTGTGTAGATTTTACCCACTCACCAGTCCTGGTGTCCATGGTCCCTGCTGCCTCTCTGCAACCCTGTCAAGACTACAGTCAGATGCCACCAGCACTGCCAGAGTCATCCTCAGACCAGGATGTGGCCCCTTTTTATGTGGTCCTGGGGCAGATGTGATCTTGCTGTGGCTGCCAAGCGGCAAGGGTTGAGGACCATATCGATCAAAAACAATAAAACTTCAATCATGGTCCGCATCAGCCCTAGGAGGAAACCAGGAGACGAGATGGGCTGATGTCAGGGGAAGGAACGCAGAGAATGACTCCATGTGTCTTTTGTGACTCCAGGAACAAGTCACCAAAAGCCAGGATCCTGTGGCCTCCGGGGAAACTGGGAAGATCCTTACTTATTTCAGGCTTTTTTTTTTTTAAATAAGGATGCCTAATATTTTTCATTTTTTGTTTATATTTTGAACACATAATGTTCTCTGAAAGGGTATAGTTTGAGTGGCATTGAATGAAAAGCATGATTCAGGATTTTTCCACTGTACCAATTACCACTCTCTTTTTAGATCTTGGCAGATATGCTGTGTTCACTGAGGAGACAGCATGTGCATTCATTACATGAAACACACACACTGATGGATGTGTTCTGAATCTGTAGCGAGGTCTGGGAGGAGCTGGAGAGTCTGCTATCCACATGTGGCTAAGCCAGACATTCTTCCCACAGCTCCATCCTTTCAGGGCTACAGGGAAAGATTTCACACAGGGCATTCATCCTTATGGTGTGTCTACAGGAAGAACCACAGGCCCCGTGGAAACACTGGCCCAAACATATGTCTTGTGGACATCCATTCTCTGCTTGCCTTAGGGGTAGCCATACAGTCTTCTGTTTGATTGGGTGTGCATCTATGTGCGCATGCATGCATGTATCCACCTTAATTTTTTTTATCTTATGTGTGTATATGAATGCACACGTATGTGCAGGTGACTATTGAGACAAGGAGAGGGTGTTGGATCCCCTGAAGCTGTAATTATAGGTGGTTGTGAGCCTCCAAGTGTGGATGGTAGGAACCAAACTCAGGTCCTCTGCAAGAACAGCAAGTGTTATTGTCTGCTGAGCAGCCGTCCGGCCTAACCACATTAATGCTTGAGCACGAGTTTCCTCACTGGCCTGGGGCTCACTGTTTCACTGAGGCAGGCTAACCAGCAAGTTTCAGGGATCTTACTGCCTGTATTCTGTCAAGCACTGGGATTCCAGACATGCACTACCATGCCCAGCTTGAATGGTTTCTAGAGATCTGAACTCAGGTCCTCGCATTTGTTAAACACTTTATCCACTAAATTATCTCCCCAACCCATACTTGCAACTTTTTCAATGATGTTAATTCTCGTGAAAGAGCTGGTCTGACACAGAAGCTAAAGCCCCAGAGCAGCAGTAACCCCTCCTGAGCCCTGGCATTAGTAAGTGCTACTGTGTCATTGGAGAGTTACCCGAGGGCCTGAGATCCTTCTGGGTCATACAACAATTGCCCTCACTGGCCCCCCGTCTCCCTGGGTACCAGAGAGCTTTCTGGAACCAAAAGGCTGAGAATCTCCATCTGCAGGTCTTGACAGCTGAGAACTGTCCCAAACTGCTCTCAGACTGATAAAGGAACAGCCTGGGCAGGCTTGCTCTACACCCCGCTTTCAAGTCAAGGAAACTAGCAGAGACTTTATTTATTTATTTATTTTTATTTCCTCTTGTATCAGCAGAATTATGTAAAACCAAGCTGTTCGCCATTTGAAACAGACAGGGGAGAGGCCTCTGGAGAGTCCTGGCCCAGGGACCTCAGAGTCTGCTTTAGCCAAGCAGTGCCTAGAGAAGTCTCTCTTGGTGTATGCATTTCCTTTTGCAAAAGAGGGACCTGGAAAGCATAAACGTTCTCCAGGGTACCAGGGCAAGGGCAGACATAGTCTCAGATAACAGACTGTGTACCTTGAGCAAGCTACTTAACCACTTTGTGCCTTCGACCTCTGGAAACTGGGAGACGATGGATTCCCATGCTCCAGGCTATGAGGGAACTTCAAGGTTATGTTACCCAATGGGCTCTTGGTGCCTAGAACAGAAGATATTCTCCATAAGGGATGCTGCCTCAATTTTACGGCATGGAGCCCTGTGTGGCGTTGTCTAAGGAATCCAGCCAGCTTCCCTCCCTCTGCCTCCACTGATCTGGCTTTTACTTTACTTTGTGGCATTTTACTTAGCAGGTGCTAAGTTTACCACCTATTCTCATCTTCTCGGTCTGTTCCACAGCGAACAGCAGCTGGTTATGTCACAGGGGTTGTCACCTTCCAGAGCTGCTGTTCTGGCCTTACCAGAGCCTGGTGGTAGAGCTTGGGATACAGCCCATCCCACACCCATTGTTCTAGAAGTGACTAGGCATGGGTCCCACAAGGGAACGGAGGCTTTGGATGCAACCTCCTGGGAAATGGGTACCACTGAGCTTCTTATTCCAGAGATGCCAGGGTCTTGGGGTGGGGGGTGGGGAAGGAGGAAAGGTCTGGAAACCTGCAGGTGAGAAGCAGGAGATGGAAAACACACTTAGATAAGAAACCACCAGCCAGGATTGGAATTTGTCCACTTTTTGCCTCTACCCCATTGCTGGGCTCTTGTTCAGAGAGCTTGCCCAGGACTGAGTGTGTGAAGAGGCCGAGATAACTAAGATAGTGTGTGAGCATGTGCCTTGGAGGCCAGGGCCAGGGGACAGAGGACGGACACAGGAGAAGGACCCTGGGACACCTGAGTGAGAGCTTGTGGGTCAGGCTCTTCCCCTGGAGTTGGGGGACACAAGGCTATCTCTTCCCAGAAGGAAGGCCCGGGGGAGGTGTGCTTTTGGGGATTCATGGCTGCTCTCCTACCCAACCTCTACACTCACCTCCCAGTTCTGGGAAAGGAGCGGCCATAGGCCTGGCAGCCACCCTCCTGCCACAGGAGCCCCTGGCGCCACGCATCGGTTCTGGAACATAAAGATGATATCCTCCTGTACTTCCAACCTCCCCGTCTGTGGAGACAGGGAGGAGTTGGTAAACAGCGCCCAGAGATCTCTACGAACAACATCTTTGCTTCTTGTATCTGAACCTCTGCTTATCTCTATTCTGACTCATATGTATATAAACAACATTACAAGGGAAAATAAAAGATCCCAAGAGTCCAATAAACCACAAAAATCTCTACTCATCAGGCCATTCCGGTGCTTGACAAATTGATTGTGGGAGGGCTGCCTGGGACATGCTGATCTCAGAGTCACTCCTGCTCGTAGGCTAGTCCCCATGTTTGCTTAGACATTTCTCCACCGTCAGCCCTGTCGGGGGTCACAGCCATGCAGTGGTGGATGTGCTTTCCTTGGGGTTTCCCCTGCTGTGGGCCTGATCTGTCATCTGGGACAGACTGTGCAAGAGGTGATATGGGCTGACAGTCATGGGTCTCAATTAAAAAGACCTTTCAGGATGCTGCTAGGGGACCAGGAAGTGCAGCTGGGCTGCTCTCTGTCCCTTCTGTGTCCAGGAGTTAGGTGCAGAGAAACAGGAGTTCTCTGAGCATCCTAGGATGCAGGATCTGAGCGGCCACTGCGGAGTACACCTGTAACTCCGGCAATTAGAAGGTAGTGGCAGAAACACCGGGGTCATCCTCACTACACAGTGAGTTTGAGACTAGCCCGAGTTATGTGAGGTGCCTCTGTCTTAAAGACTCAGTAACACGCTGGAGGGTGGTGGCGCATAACTTTAGTCCCAGCACTTGGGAGGCAGAGGCAGGCGGATCTGTGAGTTTGAGGCCAGCCTGGTCTACATAGCAAGTTCCAAAATGGCCAGGACTGTTACACAGAGAAACTCTGTCTCGAAAACCAAGCCAATAACAAGAGAACTTTGAGGAACCATTCTCTGTCTAGCCCATTACATAGGGCGCTGGGGGATGGAGAACCGACTGCTCTTCTAGGGGACTTGGGTTCAGTTCCCAGAATCCATATTGCAGCTCACAGCTGTCTGTACCTCCTGTTCCAGGGAACTGAACTCCCCCACACAGACATGCATGCAGGCAAAATACCAGTGTACATAAAATTTTAAAAAAGATTGTATCTGAGTTTTAGGTAGTATTTTCATCCTAACAATACTGGATTTCCCAACCCAACAGCATGCCTTTCCATTTATTATGTTTCCCCTAATTTCTTTCAGCAATGCTTTGTAGTTCCCTTGTTAAATTTATTTGACTTTTCCTCCTCCTTTTTGATGATGTTGCACGTGCAATTATTTATAAATTTCCCCTTCAGATTTTTCATTGTTAGTCCACCTGTGAAAGAGGTAATTCTACTTCACTTTTCAACGGGGGTATCTTGGATTTCTTCTTGCAGACTAATTGCTCAAGGTAGTACTATGTTAAGAAATTTTTCTTTTGTTTTTCCATTGTGTTTTTGTTTATTATGTAAGGGAGTTGAAGTGTGTCCGATGTAGTTTCTGAACTGATGGAAGTGATCCTCCATTCCTTCCAGAATCTAATCCAGCCAGGCTTTTGCCACCACCACTCCTTGGAGATGATCCTGTTGTAATTTAAGAAAAGCTCAAGAGGAAAATGCCATTCAGCAGGGTTAAAACAGAGGTTTGTTTGTTTGTTTGTTTGTTTTTTTAGGGAACAGGATCATAAGGGGGAGGGGGGAGACCTGCTTCCAGAGATGGGAGCAGAAGGAGAGAAGAAAAGGGGGAAGAGAGAGAGAAAAGACAGACAGACAGAGAAGGAGAGAAAGAGAGAAAGGTGGGCAGGGCCCTTTAAAAGGGAACACAGTGAATGTGCACAGGTGGTGCTCTTAGTGGCTGCAGCTGAGGATGAATCCTGCCAGAACCCCAAGGACAGGCCAGTGCAGATGTCTGAGTGCTAACACCTGTCAGTCACCTCTGACGATCCAGGGCCCGTTTCTCCGTCTTCTCTTTAGCAGCTTCAGTTTGGGTGATCGCTGTACTCTGGAAATGGCTCTAGGTGTCTACTCTAGCCTGCTTATCCTGCATCACGAGTCACTAGCTGTTTCTTCCCC